ACCAAATAATATAACAGGACATTTGAGAAGAAAAAATCATTAAACATCATCATTGTCTATCGTGTGTGAAAAGTGAAATAAAATATAAATAATTTTACCGAACCAAGATGAAAGATAGAGAAACCACAAACACCTGTTTTGTCATCATAACCAAAAACGAAACAAAATTAAAAAAAAAACAATGCCGATCGATTATTATCATAATTAAAAGCCGATTATCATACATAGCGATTATTATTATTATTATTGATTGAATCAAGTTTTTCTTCTTTCAATGTTTGTTAATATTTTCATACATCAAACAGATGTTAATATCCATCGTTTTTTCAAATATGAAAATGAAAAAAGAAAAAGATAAACAAAAAAGCCGAAAACAATTATTCAATATATGTTGAATCTTTTCAAAAAATGAGAAATCACAAAATGATAATCTTAATGATAATGCCATCAAATCATGGTAATCATTCGTTTGTTGTAGGGCACACACCATAAATACCAACCAAATCAATGGTTCCAAACTGAATTTCATTCTATCTATTTGTTTGATCATCATCACCCAGTCAAACGGGATGACAAATTGACATCAGATATACAGTTTTGACAAAAACAAAAAAAAACCAACAAGCTTATCACAATGGTAACAACAACAACAAAAATCAATAAATTTTTCTCACAACATCAACGATAACAAAAAAAAACTTCGTTTGCATTTTTTGTTTTGAAAAACCAAAAACTAGACAAAAAAAAATCAAAATTCCTATGACCTTTTGACATCGAATAACCGAGACACACACACACACACACACAACTAAAGCAATAACAAAACAAAATAATCATCAATTATTATTACACTTGTTTGGAGGGACACCTGGGAAATAGAAAGAAAATTCATTAAACACCACCATCAAATAAAATCTTTTTTTCTAAAAAAAAGGCTAAAATTGATCACGCAATATCAATCTCTCTTTTATATGTGCCTATAGGTTTGTGTGAGTGAGCAAAGGATTCTTATGGACAAAATTATCGATTCTTGAATCTGTAAAATGGTACCTGCGCCGCATAAAATCATCATATAATGACAAATTCAACATTTATTTAATTCAAAAATGACCCATACTGAGAATGATGTTGATGATCATCATCATAATAATAATCATCTTCATTTTTTTCATACAAAATATAAAAGAATATAATATTAGATAAAACAACGATGAAAAAATTCGAGTTATTTATACCTTTAATAACACACACATATACACACCACATAGGGATAGTGAATCCTGAGATAGAGAGAAAAACACGTGAGATACGGAGATAAAGAGAGAGAGAGAGAATACAAGTCAGTTTGATGATCATCAAAATGATCAACAACAAAAAAAAAACATAAAAATGGTCAACAACAGAAGAAAAAAAAACAGCAAGCGATTGAATGCAGGTAAATAAGGTGAATGCCTGATACATTACCTATTGTGGTATGCTATGCTATGTAAGCTATGCCGTGCGCGGCATTTTTTTGCTAAACACAGGGAAGCCTTCGGGCAAAATTCGGCGCAATGCAGTCTGGCATGGTCGATCGACCGATACTTTTCTCGGTTTTTTTTCTGCATTTTTTTTCTTTTTTTTGCATGTGAATTCCTGATCAAATATAAATACCTAAGATGGAAACCACCATAGGTAAGAAAATGATGATCATCATCATCAGAAAAAAATACCCATAAAGAGAGCAGTTTAAGAAAAAAATCATAGTTTCTCATCATCATCATCATTGCCTGACACCCCCCTTACAAACAACAACCTGACCATCGAAGAGAAAAAAAAAATAAAAAAGATTTGAAAGTGTAAAATACAACAACAGCATTTTTTTTCTTTACTTTACTTTACTTGACACCAAAGCCAATGAACAAAATTTGGCCAGGTGTCTTGCAAATGGTTTGGTTTGGTTGATTTTATTTTTTATTCGTTATCTCACTTTTTTTTCAACTTACTCTTTTTATGAATATATAATATTCGAAATTATATTATTTATATTCGGGATCACACATCGAGAACCTGTAATTTGCCTCTGTATGTTCACGATGGTGTCATCATACAGTAATATTTGTGTTTTTAACAACAGGTACACCTACCGAATGAATATCATCACCAAATGAGAACACATCACTTTTTTTCTTGGTCAGAATTTCCAATGAACCAAGTGTGATGATGATGAACTCTTGCATTCGCCTTGTTTTTATTTTTTATTTTTGTTTCTTCACCTGAAATATATTCAGTTTGTCCACTCATATGCACACACATAAACATCATTGATGCTTCACAGCAAGAATCTTTGATTATTGAACAAAACAAGGAAAAAAGACACATGTTTGAATCATGTAAAATTATCATCATCAAGGTGATTTCACACTGATTTTTTGTTGTTGTTTTTGTTTTTTTTCTGGTCTTTGTGATCGGTTCGCATCTGTATTTTTTTTTTCTTTCTATTTTGATTTTTAAATGGATGGCCACAAATCAAAAGAATCGTGCCGACATTATTTTTGTTTTTGTTTTTTTAAAAATAAAAATTTAAAATTCAGACTGGTTCTTGGTTGCATACGAACCAAACAAATAACATGTTTTACAGAGAACAGAATGAAAAATCTAATATTTGTAAGAATTATTGTTGTTGAATAGGGTTGGATGTTTAAATTGTCAATTTATGGTCATCGATATGATCAAGTCGAAAACAAAAAACCGCACCAGGTAGTTTGTTATTGTTTAATGGTTAAAAAGCAAATTAAATTGGAAAAATATTAAAAAAACTAAATTTTTCCAACGACAACAACAAAATGTTTCCCACAGAATGTAAAATTCAATCAATCGATTCAAGAATTATTTCTGTTTGAATAATTTTCCATCAGAACTAACTTATCATCATTATTCAATCAGAGAATTTTTTTTAAAGAAAATGAAGAATTTCATGTGAAAAAAGATTAAATTTTTTTTTTGAATAAAATCTGTACTGCTAAATGATTAGAAGTTATTTTTTTTCTTAAAAAAAACATTAAGAAAAACTAAATGATGGTATCAAATTAAAATGCTGGTGATAGCTAAAGAAAAAATTACCGTGAACATTGAAGAATGCAAGAATTGACGTTTACATAATATCATCACACCATTTTTTTTTGTAAGAAAGAAAGATGAATAGATAAATGAGCATCATTAGTCAATTTAAACTTATCATCATCGGATATAATCGTTCTTGTCTCTCTCTCTCTCTCACTTTGTTGCAAACTCCCAATTTTTTTCTTCTTCTTCAATTCATTTGTTTTGTTTGTTCATTCATTTTACTCATCATTTTGGATTTTCATTAGTTGATGATGATGATGACTTATATCCGTGACTTGTCTTTTATTTATTTTTCTTTTTATCATTCACTTCAATGAACAAAAAAAAACATTGAACATTGTAACTTATGAGATATACTATATGTACCATAGTTTCATCCACATCATCAATGAAAATAAATAGAACAAGAAAAATCTTCTTCTTGTATATCTTGAAATTTGTAATATTGGAAAAAGAAAAACCTGAAGTAAAAAAGATAACAACAAATTGATGTTTCATACCAAATGTATGTGTTATTCGTTTACAATGATAAATTACGGTCTGACAAAAGAATTTGTTGTTGGTTTTTTCATTTATTTATTTTTTTTTCCTTTGATACACTTAATTCTTATACACACATCCAACAACAACAACAAAAAACATTGAAGCATCGTTTGTGTGTGTGTGTATTTGTCGCTCATTTGTCTAAAACAAAAACCAAAAAAAAACGACGGCCTGCTTATTTCCATGGATGAATCTTATGGCATCCATGTAAAGAAAGAAAGAAAAAAAAGTAAAAAAACGATGATACAATAAGATATATAATGGAAATTGAAGTAAAGCCAAATTGAATTCAACAAAAATGAAAGAAAAAAAAAGATCACACACACACACACAGACTATCTTTCATCTTAAGGGGATTTTAATATTTTTCTTGCTTCAATGTGATCGATCTCGATTTTGTTTTTTTTTCTGGTAATAAATGGACAAAATTTCGTATCTTTATACTTAATGGTGGTGTGTGCTCATCATTTTGAAAATGGATTGGCCCGAAGAGAAAAGTCAATGATGATGGCAGGCGGCCAATTTTATTTGGTAAGGCGCCACAGCAACAACAACAACAACAACAAATATTTCCAAAGTCAATTGCTATCTTATTGGTCTATCTATATGTATAGTTTCATTATAGGAATCATCATTCGAAAGAATTATGATTTTGATGGAAACGAAATAAAAAAAAAGCCCTAAGCAAAAGTATCCTCTCAATCATTTTATATGATGACAAAAAAAAAGACTAGAAAGAAAAAAATACCAAAGAGATTGATTCAAAATGACAGTGCAAATATTTGCTTCGTAGTGTATGCGTTTGTAGTAAGAAATCTCGATCATCATCATCACTCTCTTTTGTGTGTGTGTGTCATCATTATGGATGTTAGATGGATTCAAAGACATGATTATTATGATGAAGAGAAAATTCGAATAGTTTTACACAAACAAACTATAGGTGATCAATAATATTATATAACTAAAAAAGAAATATTTGATCACTTGTACAAATGGAATACAACAACAACAACAACAACAACAAGAATCCTTGCCATCATCATCATCACACGGGTCAAAGTTTCAATCAAAAGTGTTTGTGTTGTTGTTGATGATAATAATAATAATGTTCATGATTATGGCCATGTTCAACTTCAAATCAACTTTTTTTTCTTCAAATGTTTTTTTTCCAAATCTATGTTTGTGTTTGAGATTAATCGACAATGTTATCTATGTGTAATAATAATAATAATAAAATAAAAATGGTGAATAGAAAAACACACATTGTTTGAACGAATTCTCAAAAAAATGACCAAATGCAAAAAAATCCAAAATTTTCAATTCTGTCTCATTTTTTTTCTTCTTTCACTTACAAAATATTAAGCTGCATTTGTCGACGTATGATTGCATTACGTTTATTAACCAAAACGAACCAATTTTGAAATAATTTTTCTTCCAATCGTGGATTGCCACCTGGTGTTGCGAAAAAAAAACGAATAGAATAATTTTTTTGTTATCATTCAAAAGAAAAAAAAAATAAAAATCAACAGACCAGTTTCCATAAGTTTTCTTAAACGTTTTTCCAAAATCAATGCTTCACGATCGATTCGTTTCTGTTCTTTATCAATATGAGCCAATTCTTGTTGCATTGATTCAAAAGATGCTGAATACAAATCCAAAGAATCCATTATTTCAAGTATTTATAAATATTGATAATTTACTCACTTGGAAAATCATTATAATTATCCGATTTTTTTGTTTTTGTTACTTGTGTTGGTTGTGACACTGTTTTTTGTTTTTGTGATTTTTGTTGTTCAGAATGTTGTTGTTGTGAATTCAGTCGAGATTTTGATGGAGTATTTTTTGTTTCGCAAGTTTTAAATTGATAGAAATTAAATTCAACCAATTTTACTATCATACAAACAGACAGAGACAAAAAAATAATAATAATTTTAATCATGTAAAATTTTTCTTCTTACCTGATTGATCTTGATTTGTAGATAATTGTTTGACATTTGGAGAAGGTGATGATGGCTGTTGTTCATTTTCATGATGAGTAATTGAATAGGATTCAATAGGGCTCATCATTTGTGGAGTAGCATTATTAGTGGAATTTGTTGAGCTTGATAATGAAGATTCTAAACTGGTTGCATCGATCATTCCTTGTCGAGCGTTAGCAATTAAACGACGAGCACGTTCTCGTAACTGTTCCATACGACGTTCATTATCTGGTTGTGAAGTCTTTTATCATAATAAATAATGAGAATTTAGAGAACATATTAAAACACGGATTTAAATACCTGTGAAAGTTTACGATCAGATTGCTGGGAACTGATCGAATGAGATCGTATAGATTCAATCAATTTACGGGCACGATCTCGAAGTTCTTCTTCTCTCATTCGGGTACGCTATGCGACAAAAAAATTAAGATTTGAATACAGTCTACAAAAAAAAAAACAAACCTTTCGTGTCAGCGCTTCTGTAGAATAATTGTATGAATTTGGACAATTTGGTACCGAAAATGTTCGCTGTAATATATGATTTTGATGTTGACTACTAGAAAGATCAATCAATCCAGGCGCAATTTCGATAGGATGATTATTAGATGATAATGTTGTATGAGGATGATTATGGGTAGACGGTTTTTCATTATGATGATTATCATTATCACCAGTTATGAAAGTTGAATGATATTTATTAAATGATAAAGTTGATTGTGATGAAGGCATCGTCGTTGAAAATGGTTGTCGATATTTCAATGGTTTGCGTATCGGTTGCTCTTGTCTATCACTTATGTTTTTGTTATTGCAATCAAGCTTTGAGGATTGATCTTTACTTGATGATGTCCCTGTTTAAATGAAAATTTAATAAACTTTATGCTATAACATAGTTTTGTTTTATACGACTTACGATTCATAATTTCAATTTCCTCTTCTTCTGAATCAGATTCGAATGGACTTGTAAGCTGTTTTCTGGTCATCAATACTTTATTTTCATTTTCTAATGATTTTATACTGGTTGTCGTTTGCAGCTGCTGTTGCCAGTACTGTTGTTGATTTAAATTCATCGTTGAATTATCCAATTCGTCAAATCGATTGAACAAATTTAAACATTTGGTTTTCACATTATCAATACTACGATTATTTTGATCATCATTGCTTGATAATGTTTCGTCATCGGTAATAGTTGAATTAGAATCTGAAATGGTATTTGCTGAACCGATCATTGATTTTCCTGTAAAATATGATCGTAGTTGATAAAGATAGGTCATCACAGATAATTTGTCTGGTACATTCAAAACGATCATATCGTTTGGATCTATTAATTTTGGTATGCCCAATTTTGAGGCTGCGTCGAATACTTTTTTACAATTTCCAGTAATATCAGATGGCTGTAATGAATCAAAATCAATCAAATCCGGACGAAAATGATGTATGATTGCAGCAAATGCCAGGCCATTACGCCATGATGTGGTCATATTGGTCACCATAACACCACTATAATCTTTCGTTATTGTCTGACACCAGCTCAATAAATCTTCGGCCGTTGAATAGCTTGACTGTTGTTGCTGTTTTTGTTGTTGCAAAACGAATTTATCTTTTTTTTGCTGTTGTTGCAGCCGTTGCATCATTGAATGGCTGAATGACGATTCTTGATCGTTGATCGATTGTGCTGAATCGTCGAATTTTTCTTCAATAGATCTAAAGTAAAAACGATTAATTTTTAAAAATTGAAAAAAATTGGCACGTACAGCAAAATCTTAAAACATGTTAAAACGATTATCAAATACGGAAAAAAATATCCCTCAATCAATCAATCAATTCGATTGTAAATATATATTTTTTTCATTTTTTCCAATTGAAAACGATTAAAAAAAGACTTACCGTTCAAATGAATTCTGATTCAACTTTTGATATGAATGGTGTTCATCATCGTTACTGATGTTGGCCAACAAATCAGAGTCAGAATATTGTTCATATGCAACCGATGAATGACTGTCTACTTCATCAAATTGTTTGTCGTGATCTTCGTTTGAATCATCATTATTTAGATTAAAAGATGGCAATGCCTTTATATCTGATGAGCTACACTCTTGATCGCATTCAATCGACGATTTTTGGATAGAATCAGGCTTATCACAAGTTTCATGCTTTAAATGAGAATGAGTCACGAAAGAATTAGCTACGCTTGAATCGGAATTTGTTTTTGAATCTGTTTGATGATTATGACGACGAATAGGAGGAGATGGTGTATGAAGCTTTTGCTCATGCGGTAAAGTTTCAATCGTAAAATTATCGACATTACAGTTTTCTTCGTTTTGTTTCGATTTTGATTCGGATTCCTGTATTTGGGGATTCATTTTGATTGAACTATTATTGCAAACCTCTAGATTGCCTATCATATCAGAACAAACACAAAAACCAGAATTAGATAAAAACAAGTCTGATAACTACTTTGAAACAATTTCAGTATTTTTATTTAATCCATTATAACTTTCATAAAAAACTCGTAATGAAATAAATATGAATCGTGTTAAAAATGTATAAAGTACCGTACCGTTTTGCATAATTTCGTGCTTGTCCGCACTGGAGTTTGATTGATGTTGTTCGAGTTGATCACCAACATTATTACCAACTGAATCGTTATCATTATTCAGAAATTGATTATTAAATTGTTCAATCATTTCGGATATTTCATTCTGCGTTTGATCGGAATATTTAAATGGTTGAGAATTTTGATCATCATCATCCAGGTCAGGTGTTGGATCAGGACCATTCATGCTAATTAAACTGGCTAAACTTTGCATATCATCATCTCTATATAGTAATTATATTTGAGAAATTTTCATAATAGATTAAATTATCGACTTGTAACCTACGTTGCTTTGCCTTCTTTTAAAAATTGTGTGGCCATTATGAATGAAATGTATGATCGTCGAACTTTTTTCGATGTAATTTGTAGCTTCTTTTTAGTAAATTCTTGACGAAAAGGCACAGAAAATTGATCTTCATCAATAAATTCACTAATATTTATTGCAGACGATGCTATACGTCGTTGTTTTCCCATTGGTGAAATATCCTCAATCGAAATCATCCAATCTTTTGATTCAAAACGACCATGTGAATCTTTGAACAATGTAACTTCGATATCGATAATTTCCGGCAATGTCCATTTTACCGATCCTAAATATGGATTACGTATAGATGGTTCCCATATCATTGGTTGACTACATCGGCGTCGACTTCGACGTGTAAACACGACAATCAATTTGTTTGGTTGCCTTTGGCCATCATCATTTTACCCCCCAATGATTAACATTATTAAAAATGATTTAAAAATTTTATCACTTACCATTTTGAACATCCTTCAATGATTAATTCATGAAGTTCGAATAAAATACGATATTTAACAGCACGTTTATTAACACGTTGAAGGCGTTTCCAAACGAAACTCATTCTGATACGAACTTTTCAACAAAAAAAAAACTTTTGTTACTCTAATGGAAACAACAACAACAACAAAAAGAACATAAAATAAATTGCAGATCTGAATAATAGAATGACGTTCATAATTTGTTTTTTTATTGCTTCACATTGATACTTGTTGTTTGTTGATATTGATGTTTTTGTTGAAATGTTTAATAACGAAATAATCAATCACACACTCAGAAATGAACATTTATCGATTAACATTGTTTAATAATTAGGATTAAAGTTAAATATTTAAGGAATTTTTTATTCAATTTTTTCGGGTCTAAATTTCAAACAAACAAAACGATTGTATAAATATGAGAAATTATCCTCGAGATGATTTCAACTTGAAAAAAATAGATTCAACAGAATATAATCCAAGTACAAATAATCCATTTTTCGCTGATTCATATACACAATGAATATAAGTAAAATATAATGACTAGAAAATTATTCAATCCATAGAAAAAAAAGCTACAAATTTACCCAAAAAAAAGAAAGAAAAACAGATCAAGCTTTAATACATCTGCCAAATATCAACACACGAACACACACATCACCAAAGAAAAAAATCTTCGATATATATGGAAAATTGAACGATATTCAAATGAAAGAAAAAATTGTATATCCGAATATTTAGATAAACAAACACACATGTGTCTGACAAATTTGATTACTGTAAATTCTAATCATCAACAATTCTGTTAAATGGGCAATGCCAATCGAATAACAAATTATTTTGTTGATTGATTGTTTTTTTTTGGGTGATCGGGGAAATGGTGTCTGGAAAGAATGATATATATCTCAATATGCTCATTTTTTTACCAGCATATAAATGTAATAAATTAAATTCTACTTACACAACAAAGAAATCACAGAATAAATGCAAATTTATCAAACATTAATTGAATGTAAATAAAAATTGTTTGGAATATAAGAATAATAATACTATTTGCAGCAGCATCAAGGAATTAAGAACATTAATTACGAATGACTGAAATTATCTCGTTCGCCCATATCATTTTATGCAGATTTTTTAATATTAAAACATTATAAGATCCAAATAAAAAAGATTTCTTTTTTAAAAAAATGAAATTTATTTGAAATTTAGTTTTTTTTTACAAAAACAAACAAAAATAAACAAAAAAAGCATTGATTTATTAATTTACGAAACACGGAAAAAATAATCCATTTTCACCATGACCAGCTGGATTGTGTGGAAATAGAATCGAATCATTTTAGTGTATCTTTATGTCTTCGTTTAATTTCCGTTTTGCGTCTATATTTTCGTTTATGATTTTGTAAAATTCTTGTTTCAATTAGATTACGCTTCTGTAGACTTTTATAACGGTCTTTCAATAAATTGCCTTCGGTTTTCAACGATCTTAATGAACCAGAAATTTCGCCAGGTAAATTCAATTCGATAGGTGTTTCCTCGAAGCGATGTCGACTTAATCGTTTTGGTTTGTAAAGCGATTCGATATGCTTAATTTGTCGAAGTTTCGCTCGCTCTTTGATCTTCTGTTCTCGTTCATCCAACTCCTTTTCGATTGATTTAATCCGGTAAACATCATTCTCTTTTATTCGTAACAATTTATCTTGTTCTTTTTGTTTCTTTATTTCCTTTTCACGCAATTCACGTCGTTTTTGTTGTTTTGTTTTTCTTTTCATAGTTTTAGATTTTATTATGGCCATAGTCAAATCAAGATCATCAGCAGTTTCGATTTGTTTATCATCATCTTCACTTTGATCGTCATCAATCAATCCTTGTAACATTTCGTTAAGATTAGCTTTCTCATTTTCCTGGGCTTCATTTTTGGTAAGATGAAATTTATCCACTTTATCAGCCCACATTTTTTCTTCATTCAATTTAATCAATTCTTTTTCAGCTTCTGATATAATTAATGTTTTATAATCTTCCTCACTCGGATTATAAGATTGACCTGGTAAAGGAACCTCGACTGCAGGTAATAAGGATGGTTTTTGTCGCAAATGTTCAGGTACTTTTTTCTTGATCACTGCAAGTGATTTTTCTTCATCATTCCATATGTCATAATTGTTATTGAATCGTGATTTTGAATCATTCTTGGCTTTCTGTTTGAATTGTTTAACTTGTTTAGCACGAGTTATTGTATCTTTACGATCATTCCAATATCGAATCAATTTTTCATCATCATTATAAACGGTACGTCGCTTATCACTGTTTTGTTTATTAATCACAACAGCTGGAACATTCGATGTAGGTAGCAATTTCCGATACAATCGATGTTCAGATGAAATTTTTCTCAATTTTGAATTATTAACCAATGATGATGGACAAGATTGGATTTCTCGATTTTTTGAGACTTGATCCAATTTTTCCTGATAAAAATCATCGTCACCAGTTTTTTCAATCATAAACAGTTCATCGTTCTTGGCATCACCTATAGAATGACTAGAAAAAAAAACGTTTCACTACAGTTTGAAACAAATTTCCAGTACTTACCCAATACGTTCTTCAAATCTTTTATCGTCCAGAAATTCTTCATACTCGCTAATATCGGTATGCTTTCGCCATGCTTTCTTTTTATTTTTGCTTACTTTTTTAACCTTTTTTCTTTCGTTGGGTGAAATATTCAAGTTCACATTTCCATTTAGTAACATCATTGTTAAAAAATAATTAAACCAATCAGTTCCATCAACAATTCACATTGAGCTTGAACACGTGGTGTTCAATAAAAAAAATTTATAGCGCCATCCAGTGTTTTTGAAAAAAATTGCTTTGAAAAAATTCAGACTTTAAAATTGAAATTATATTTTTAATGCATTTGATTGATAAGATGAATTTACAAACAAAAATCTGGTATTATTCATACATAATTAAAACAATTCATTTTTTAGATTACGATTTTTCTAACTTTTTTTGACGATTTTTTTTCATTCGATTACGCATCGATCGATTAGGTTGATTTGATTTTAAATTTTTCTTTCTTGGATCGACAATTTTGGTGGCTACCTGAACACAGGCAATCTTCTGTCCGATTGGATCGGTAAGCGTATAACTTACTTTAAGCGAAATCTATAGCAAAATCAATCAATTAATTGATTAGATTGAAAATCGATTATATAGATCATTCGTTTATTTACCGGAGGATAATAAGGTTTGACTTCAAACCATGCTTTAAATTGATAATGTTCATCTTTTTTCAAAGGACACGACGGAAAAATATTGCCAGAATTACAAGGATCGATTTGTTGTTGAGGAAAAGGCATTTCACGACCACGAATTACACCTTTGATCACTTCGAATAATTTGCTTGTATTAGTTACTGTTTCAGTAAAGAAAAAAAAAGAAAAATTATAATCACCACCATCTCAATGAGACAATCTCAGTTTGCAAATAATAATTTCCAAAAAAAAATAACAACGGATACCATATGGTCATCACAGAATTTTTTCATCAACATCAACTCTCTTGGTTATTCGTTAATCTAATCTATGTGTTCAGAATGAATAATAATTATGATAAATCTATCTAATGACATTTTCAACTTTATAGTTAACAACCTGTTGTCTTTTTTTTTCTCAGGTTCCTGAGAATATCGTGTATAGCCTTGATCAAATTTAATTACCACGTCCTGAATATAGAAAAAAAACTTGGTACATCTTCACGGTTCATGGGTTCATTTTATGTGTGTGTGTGTATGTTTATATATTAGTATTTCCTTTCATTGCGTAACGCGCTTCGATCATAATAATTAATTAGTTGCAAAAAAAAGATTAGATTATTTGATTGACACGGTAATGTTGTTGATGATGATGATGATCATGATGGAGATGGGATATTTTTGGTTCAATGGACATATATTTTTGGTTCGAAGGGAAAAAAATTACTTACGAGCAACAAAATCTGCTTCAACAGTCACATTAGTGCCCAATTCGATGACGCATATCGAATTATTATTATTATGGCTGTTATTATTATTATTATTGATATTTTCCATACATGGAAATATTCGTACATCTTTCACGTTTCCTTCACCTGAAAATAATTAAGTAGAAATGAATTTTTTTTTTCTCGTTGATCAAATGAAGAAATCGTGCATCACTATTAGTGTTGTAAAAATTATTTAATCGAAGTTACCAATCATTGATAAAAGATCGATAGATAGTTGATCAGAAATCAACAAAAACACACTTAACTTCAAATGAGATTCACGAAATTCTCATAGGATTTCAATTGATTACAGAAAAATTTCGCTTACCACAATCGGTAAAATTGACAGATTGACTTTTGACCAAATTATCGGCCATCATAACGATAGCGATGATCAATATGTAAACGTTAATCGAAGACATTGATTGAAGCAGAAGAAGAAGAGGAAAATTCAATTGAATTGATCAAAAAAAAAATTGATTTGGAAAAAAATGACGACCTTTTTTCTGATAAAAGATTCAGCTGTTGTTCACAATCATCAATGAAAAATTATCATTATTTGCTATTTCATTCATTTGTTTGTCGCCTGGACATTTTTTCTTTTCATCAAAACAATAATATTGTTGTTTTGTATTGACAAAAAAAAAGAGAAGAATTTGTTATTGATGATAAGGGTGAAAATACTTATTCAATAAAATGAAATCGATGATGGCACATTTCCAGACAAAAGTAAATAACAATTCGTTGTTTAAAATCTCACGACAGGTATTATTTATTTTAAATTCAATGCATACAATGATAGTAAACAAATTATATTTCAATTCAACTTTGTCAAAAGAAAAAACGAAGTTTGTTTCGTGGACCAATGATTTTCGATAACAATTCAAATGTGTTTGTTTGTTTGTTTGTTCATTCATTCATATGGAAAAAATCAAAAATAAAACAAGTAGAAATTGTATGTTGCCAAATATTAATCATCAATTTTTATGTGAATCTTTTCGGTGGAAAAAAAGAAAACCAGATTAAAAAAAAGTGAAAGTTTACCATGTTTATGTGGATCTGAAGAGTAAATCACTAATTCATTCATCCAGAAATTTTGTTTTTTTTTCTTCTTTGAAAGAGAGTCTTCTCTATCTGTCCAATTTCCTATCAAATTACAAGCAAAAAAAAATTTCTTCCACTATTTTCTATTTCACTATCCGGAAAAATTAAGTTTGATTTTTCGTTTCTCCCGAAATCCAAATTGTCTTAATTATTGTATTCAATCCAACATAATTAATATATCATGTTATTTTCTGATTCGTGTTATATCATGAATCATTGTTTTGTTTAAAAAAATAACATAATTCCAATGCATTCATTCACTTCAATGTTGTAAGTTGGTTGTTATAAGAATGATCGGTATTTTCTTGTTTTTTTTCTTCTTACAGTGAGGATGATGCTAAAAAAATTATTATTAACGGGAAAAATATTGGGCGACATAAGATGTTATCGATGCTAAGTTAAAAAAAACAACAAAAACTTTCCATTTATTCGTTTTAGCTATTTATAGCTTGAAAACTTTATACCTACACACTTGTTTTTCGTTTAAAAACAATTCGTTTGGATGATTATAATGATGATGATGATGACCACATATCGAGATACAAATCATCATAATCAAACGATAAAAATGTAAACCAAATGGACAATACCGTACAGTATTACTTCGATTAACGATGGACATATTGGACAAACAAATTAATCATCTTCATCCTTTTTTTTTTTGCTTTGATATTAATTATTTTCAAACACAATAATTGTCATCATTTGAATCGATGTTACCATTGTATTTATGAATGCATAACTAATTTTGTTTCCTTTGATCATCAGTAATGACACACCATGAATTAATCGTTCAACAGGTAAAAAAAATGTCATTCACTTCCATTCAAAAAGACAGACAGACAGAATGATTAAGATTTTTTTCCATTAAATTTTTTTAATTTATTTTTATAAATATAAAATATGAGAAAAATTCAATGATTATACAATGTTAATGATGATGATGATGATAATAAAAATACAACAAAATATGTTCATGGAGAATACATACATAAATGAGAATGAATCATTAAACCTTGTAACATTAAATTCAAATTCCAAAAAAATTCAAAGAAAAGAAACAAAAAATAAACATTCCCAAACAAAGATGATAATATTTTGTAGTTGTTTTGAAGAAATCAGAAATTTTTTTTAGAAATTTAATCCAAAATGTGAATAAATAAATAGACATCATTGTTATCAAACGACAGCATAGATATTAAAATTGTCTGTCATTTGTTGCTGCTGTGTTTGTTGTTGTTGTTGTTGTTGTCTACCGTTTCCATCCATCATTGATTGTTGTTGTTGTTTGTGTATGATATTATTATTATTAGATAAATTTCTTATTTCTTGCGTTAATCGTAATCTAGGTCCCATCGGTATACCAAGTTTTTGTAGCCTATCTTCATCCAATAACATTAGCTCAGTGATTCCAATTTTTTCCGATTCAAAATTTTTTAAATATTTCTATAAAGAGTTTTTGAATGAATGAAAACAAAAAAAATTGATTTTATGATTATAATGAAAATCATTCATTCATTCATTCATTGATTTATTATGATTGAAAAAAAACAAAACAAAAGAACAATTACCTCATATCCAAATTTTTTTAAAAATTGTTTGAGCGTCGGTGGTGGATCGTCTTTTTTAATTTTATCAACTTTTTTACTATTAATATTGTTGTTTGATTCTTTACTATGGCTTGTTTTACCATTCACTAAATGATTTGATTGCTGCGGCTGTTGTTGTTGTTGTTGTTGATGGTGATTATGATGGTTTTCATTCATCTGTGTTAACTTGTTATTCGATTGTTGTACAATGTTTTGTTTTATGATAACCATTTGAGATCGAAGCATTTCCATATCATGTCTAAGGCATTGTATTTGATCGTTAAGCGTATAATTGTATTGTATATCGATCGAAAGCTGTGAAACACTTTTGGCTAATGTCAATACTTGAGATTCTAACCGCTGACATCTTACCAATACTTGACTGGTTTTAAAACAAAAAAAATCAATTTAATCGTATCGATCAATCACTTTGAATTACATAATAATAATAATGAAATACTAACCTGTTATCTTCAGATCGTGAACGAATTCGATTATTATCATGACGATGTTTTCTATATAGATGATCACGAGTATTTCGACTAGCGACTGAACTACGACCCGAATTTCTACGAAATAATTTTGTCTTACGATTTGCGTTGAAAATATTTCGTTGTCCATTTTTATTTTGTTCACTTTTACCATGATGATGATTGAGCATAGTGAGTAACTAATCAAGTTAAATTAAATAATCAATGTTTAGATACAACCAATAGGTTCAATGAATGATTTTTTTTTGTTGAATAGTTATGATAATCAACTTACCTCTGAATACATATCTTCAATTCCTTTCAGCTGTTTTCTTAATGGATCATTATGATGACGAGCATTTCTATTATCGATGTTGATATTATCATCTAAATATTCACTACAACCATCGCCAGGAAAGTTAGTTTCACTTGAAACTATCGATGTAGCACCACAATCTTCCACATCATCATCATCATCATCATCACCATGCTGAACCACCACAGAACAATGATTCTGATGATGATTATGTTTTTCATTCAATTTTTGATGCTGTTGAAGGTTATGATGATGATGATTATGATTAGATGTAGCCGATAATATTTCATTGGCATTGTAATGATGTTGATGATGATTACGATATTTTCCTTTATCTGGTACACTATATATACATTTATCATATGATGGTAATATATTGTTCGTCGTCGTATTCATTCTGGCCGCTTTCATTGGTTCGGTTATAAACTTATGAGGATTTGGTGGTAATTTCATCATCGGTTTTGATTGTTGCTGTTGCTCACCGTTGAGAGTTGTAGAAGCTTTTGTTTGTTTGCTTAGATTAGAATTTAGACAATTTTCTGGCTTGGAAAAGTCAGTTTTTAATTTACTATCTATTTGATGATGATATCGATTTTTGCTCATTGTTGATGGCATTGTGTTGCTAGTTCTATTTGTATTGGAATTCAGAGTTGTTTTTGTTTTGGTTGATGGATTCTTATTCATTGTGCCCAAATCATCAGAAAGACTAGTCCAGCTATCGGTTTCATCATTCATTGACAATTTTGTTCGGAAATCCGTACCATTTAATTCATTGTCTTTACTCGAAGATCTAGGCTCAAGATAACGTTGAAGTTTGTTGAAATTTTGCTTTGATTTTGCTCCAGAATTATTTATCTTATCATTTAATTTATTCCATTCAGTATCAATTTGATGATTACTTTGATCTGAATCTAAACTTGTTAAATCGCCAGGACTATTTACATCTAAATTATTACGATCTTCTGTATGGCTATTCATCGTACCACGACCAGATTCGGATGACGATTTATAATTATGATCATGTGATTCGACACTTTCCGTCGGTTCTACAACCCCATTTAAACTTAACGTACTACCTTGATGTTGATGTTGTGGTTGTTGTTGCTGAGGATGATGATTATTTATGATTTGTTTGACAAAATTACGGTCACTATTGTTGTTGGAAGAGCGAACTATAAGTCCATTTGAACATTTATTATCATCAGTATCATTCACTACAACACTATTTGTAACTGCTTCTTGTTCATTGGAATTGTTATCGACATTTGATGATCGAGTGATGGTATTGGTTGGCTGAGAAACACCATTATTCTGATGATGATGATTATTATTATGTTGAAGATGAAGATGCATATTAGCCGGAGATGTTTTATTAGTAAATGAATATAAACTCTCTTTACGAGTCACTTTGTCGACATTCATTTCAGGAGTTATATTACGAAAACACGTATCAGTTGAAGATTTTTGCATCATCGATGATAAAACATCTGATGATTGCTTGTTGGATGTAGCTGCAACAGAACTTGAATGAATGTTGCCATTCGGGTTGATGTTGGTCGATTGAACACACGGATATTGTTGTTTATTGGCAAATAATTTATTACACACTGTACGTAGATCATAATGATCACTTTCAATCGTAGCTGTAGCTGAGTTCCTCATCATCATTGTTTCTAATTCATTTGATGATGGTCTCAACAATTTTGCCGATGTCGATGCTGATAAATTATTAAGATTATTTGATACTGAAGCACTAATTGTATACTTGTTCAATGTATTCAATAGACAAGAATCAATATGTTGTTGTTGTTGCTGTTGATGATAATGGCTTAGATTTGGATTGACCATAGTAGATGAAGAAGATTGCCATTGTTGCATTGTCGATGGTAATAATGAAGCTTCATTATGATTATGGTTATTATTATTATTGCCATTAAAATCATTATCATTAAATGATGATGACGATTCGCTATTTTTATTATTAGCACAATTTTTTTGCTCTTGTTTTATTTTTGGTTCCAACCGGCCAACAACAGCATCCTCTTTATCAACATTATATTGAATTGATGTTGATGATGCTAGATTTCCATATGATCGATATGTAGATTCATTTTGTCGTTTATCGTTATGATCGATATCAATTGAACCAGATTTAGACAATGTAGTTTGTGTTTGGTTATTATCTTTATTAATAGATGATGGCGAAAGAATGGCTCGAATTTTTTGCTGAAACAAACTTACTTTACTTGTCGATGGAGTTGAGTTTGATGCTGGTGATGATTGTTTTCCATTCACATGAAATGAATTTTCTTTCGTTAAATTTGTATTACTATTTGATGTGGTCATTGAAGAAGATGAATTAATCATTTTATCCAAATTATTCAATGAAATTTGTCGTCTTAATTGTCGTTGTTGATTGAGGTAATGTTGATTCATGTTGTCTGATGTTGTTGCTGAAGAATCCAAAAAATTAGAACCAAAACTATGACCATTAGCGGCCATCAATGAACTTAAAGTAGAATTTGTTGGTAATGTGTTTGAATGTCCAGGTTGAAGATTGAATTTCAACAAACTTTGTTGTTTATTTGTGGTTGTTGTTGATTGAATACCTTTTGATTTTTTATGGTTACGATGAGGTAATGTTGAAGATAAAGATGACTGATTATTAATCTCATTATTAAGATTGTTTGAATTATCACATCTTATCGTTTGATGTTGAGAAGGCGTCGTTTTTAATGTCAAACCATTTGAATTGGACAGAAGCATTCGATGTTCTTCTACCGGAGATAATGGCCGTATATGTCGACAATCTTCTATGCCTGTATATAATTGAAATTTCGTTCATAATGGAAAAAAAATAAGAAAAATTTATAGCCAAAGGACGATTATTATTATGATTTGAAGAATCCAATTATTATGGATTTTTGATACTTTTCTCAAAAAAACTGTGAAAAAATTCAAAATAAAATGTTGTTTTTCTCACACACAAACACAAAAAAAATAGTTTAAACCACAATGAATGTGTGTTTACTATGTCAGTGTGTATTCATCATAATATTCGGCGAAACATCGGAAAACATAGGCGATTGCCATAATCATCATCAAAATTGATCAAATGTCAAGCTGTCAACATATAAACAAAATGAAAGGATGTTTTCACATAACCTATAGGTTAACCATAAAAGAATGAACAATTTTTTTTCATATCGGATAAAAATGGATAAATTCAAACAATAAGATTCATTCGAACGAATAAGGAGACGACAACAACAACAACAATCATCATCATCTTCATGATGATCACTGATATGTGATGTGATGAGTTTTTTTCATCGCCGTCGTCGTCTTTGTTGTATTATACAAGCAAATCATTTTTGACCATATCAATCCTTCTGTCTGTATATTGGATACCCGTGGTTGATGTTTTTTTTTCTTCTCTTCCAATTTCTATTCATTCATACATTTATTCATCAACAAGCTTTACATTATTATTAATAGCTATAGACAATATAAGATTGTGGCATCAACCCGATGTAAGAGAGAGAGAGAGAGAGAGAGAGAAAAAAAAGAGAAAGAATATCCGAATACTGTGAATATAGTGGCCACTATTAAATAATTGCGGTCATATCTATTCATATTTTATCTACAACCAATGAATGAATGGCCAAATACCGACCGACCAACCAACCGACCATCGATAGAATACACACAAACAAGTTTAAACATTTACCGGTAAGTTTAATGTGTATCATGAATCAGTTTTTATAATTATGGTCGCCATTTACTTTATGGTTCATCATTCTGAAATGAAATTGAAAGAATTATTCATGGAGAATAAGATTTGGTCACCCGAAAAAAAAACAAAAATGTAAAATAGGTTGAATGAATGAGATGATTGCCATCATAATCATTATCAACAGCAACAACAAAACGATAAAGTGACTACCATTATTTTGTGGAAATAGCCAAACATCATTTACGGTAAAATAGTTCAAAAGAAATGTTGGCAATGATGATGATGGCGATTCGATTCGTTTATCGTTTTTTTTCAAAAAATAGAAAAAGAAAACAACGGTAAATTCTATTGTTTTCTTATCGTCACTGTGATTAAACAACAAACAATTTAAATTTCAAAGAAATGAATAAAAAAAACCTGATACACAAATAAACCTGGGCAATTTGTTCGGGAAAAAAACTAATGCACGCTAAAAGATATAAGAAATTAAAAAAAACTTTTTAAAAAAATTCATAGGCAAGTCCGAATCGCAACGATTAGATTATTCATTTTTTGTTTTCTGTCGGAGCAATTAAAGTTAATCAACTCGAATGAAAACTTTAATATTTTCATTGATGATGAAAGTATGCCCGCCTAGAAAATATATTTTCAAAAATAAAAAATGTAATCTTCTTACCAGATCAATTGTTTCATTGATGAATATATAAACAAAACAAAAAAAACTAGAAGGGAAAGAAGAAGAAGAAGAAGAAAACAAAATAGCCAATCATCATCATTATCATTATTAACAAAATTCAATGGACAATTACATAATTTGTCCGTGAGTGTGTGATACACATTTTTTATCCATAATAATAATAATAATAATTGGACTATTTGTGTTTTAGTATCAATTTTTTTGTTTTTTTTGCCTAGGATGATCATATTTGATGATGGCCAAAACAATCATTTTGATGAGATACAAATAGAAAAAAAATGAATGAAGAAATTTTTCTCCAGATGTAAGTCAAATTATTATTATCATTATTTTTTTTTTATTTTATTTTTTAATTATGAGTACGGATGCTGAACAAACAATGAATCAAAATAAACCGGCCGCCATAGTGGACGTTTTTTTTTCATCAGCCACGCCATAATTTTTTTTGTTGTTCAGAGAATCATTAATCGTAAATATTTAATGATGAAAGATTGAACAATTGAACATTGGATTGTAATGGAATTCATAAAGATTTTTTTTTTGTTGAAATGTTTTGTGTGATGAACACACATGCACACACATTCCATTTATTAAGTTCGAAAACGTACAATGAAGAAGAAAACGAGATCATTCCATTTCCATTAATGAAGAAAATTTTTTTTTTGTAACAAAAAGAAAAAAAAATGTCCGAATAATTCATAAAAGGATGACAATGTTTTTTGTAAAAAGAGGATGATTTTTAAGTAGATCATGTTAACTTATAATGATCTTATAATTATGCGAAAACATACAATATATTGTTTTGTTTTTTTTTCATTTTGTTAGTGGTTTCATCATTAAAAAAAAACCTCAATTTGTTGATGAACGTGTAACAAGAGAACAAAACAAAACAAAAAATTGAGATCATGAATTTTTAAATCATCTCAACGGACACTGGATTAATCTCATAAAAATCACCTAATTAACTGTGTGAATTTTTTTGTACTACATAGTATCATCATCATTTATTGAACTTGAAAGAAAAATCTACAACAAGATCCGGACATTAAGATATGGCAATCATATTTGTGGGATGTTTTTTTTTGTTTTGTTCATTATTATATATGATGTTTAAATGATATTTTTCCCGTTTTTATTTTTTTCAAACAATGATAGACAAAATATAAACAAACAAAACAAACAAACAAAACTTACCTGTCATTGTTCGTTGATGATTATTATTATGATTATGACTGTGGTTATGATGATGATGATGATGATGACTATTGTTGTTGACAAATGCCGATAATGTATTCTGTTGTAGATTCATTTTTGGTTGACTGGAAATTGCCAGGTGACAGGAAGACATTTGACCATGATTCATGATTTTCGTTGTCGTTGTTATTTGTTCATCAATACAACTTGTTGATTCTGGTTGTAAATAATGTTGCCGATGTTTAGAATTTGCTAATGTCAATAGCCAATACCAAGACGATGATGATAAAGGTGTTTGATTGTTTGAATGAACTTTTTGGTCAAATATTCGTTCAAATTGATTTTGTTCAAAATGTTCACATTCAGGTTGTTGTTGTTGTTGTTTTAGTTGTTGGCTATCGTTGTTCGTATGAGCTGTTGTTAATGACGAATGAATGTCGTTGGAGCGCGTGGGAAATTGCTTTTTTTTCTTCTTCTTCTTGTTCTTGTTCTTGTTCGTTGAATGTCGTAGGTCGTCGTTGCTATGGCTAATTGAACTACTACTGTTGCTGTTTTTACTTATACTATTGGCTTTATTATTCGTTATTTTAGGTGATTTTAAGTCATCGCCATCATCAGCTAGATTGTAATGATTGTGACAATTGTTGTGTAAAACAAAAACTTCTGTTTGAACGGAATCAACTTTGTCTGATAATAATAATGATGATGATGACGGTGGTGATTGTAAAGATTGTAGTGATTTTTTGCTTAGTCTTTGTTCATTGAGAAAGGAAACGGCAATTTGATCATTGGCCAAAGTCTATTTGATGAATGAATGAATGAATGAATAATAAAACAATTGAAAGATGTAAGAAAAAAAATTTGAAAACAAAATAAATTACAATGAAAATCTAATAATAATAATAATCGGAAACAAATTATCATATCAAATGGATCATTTGCTATTAAATTTTACCATTTGATCCAAGTGAATTTTGCGCAGACGTTTTTCAAACGATAAAAACATTGTTACTAAAAAAATAAATAGTAAACAGACAAACAAATTCTAAGGTCTGAATTCAATCCATATCAATGATCAAATGATACAAATTATAAAAAAAAAATTTTCTTAAAAAATGAAATCGAAAATGTACATGGTCAATATCAATGGTTGTTCTGTAAATCTTTCTGATGATGATGAGCCAGGATATTAGCTAAAACAAATTAAACTCAATGCATGCTGACCGAGGTCAAATCAATAATGTATCTTATACTAGGGAACTATTATCAACTACAACAATTACTATCATTAGTATGTATTACATATGTCATAATAGGAAAAACGATCGACCTTTGTTTTTTTTCTTCTTTAGATTCGTACAACGCAAAAAGGTCAGATCTGGTTTGCACGAGATAACCAATTGGACGGATGATTCGATAATCGTCTTTTATTTTTTCAGCAATTTTTGACGGTTTCGAACAATCAAACTTGAATGAATGAATCAACAAGCTTAAACATGCTAACAATTTATTTAGATATAATAATTCAGTATCGATGATGATGATGATGATGATGAACAAAACAAAAAAAAATGTCTGAAAAAAAATGCTTACCATCATCATTATTTTGCATCATACATTTATTTTAAGTTATCTTTTTTTTAGAGTCACGAATTTCGAATATTTATGAACAACAACAGAAAAAATTAATATGATTCAGGTAATGTACATACTACATACGATGAAACTAAATGTCGATATGATCATCACCAAAACCTTAATGTGTATATACTATCAATATGTTTTAATGTAATTAAAACAACGTGTTGTTTTTTTAAAAACAGAATCAAAGACTCAATCGGCTAGTTTGATCACTTGTTGTTATAAATGCCGCTTTTCGAAAAATGATCGGTTTTTTTCTGACCAAATATTTATGACTGAAAATAGTCGATTATTTTGCAAAGATGTTAAGAAGAAGAAGAAAACCAGAATTTCAGGAAACAATATTTTATGAATTTCGAAAAAAAGCAGATAAATTAGTGTTTGGGTGATAAGCTAAANTAGTATGTATTACATATGTCATAATAGGAAAAACGATCGACCTTTGTTTTTTTTCTTCTTCTTTAGATTCGTACAACAAAAAGGTCAGATCTGGTTTGCACGAGATAACCAATTGGACGGATGATTCGATAATCGTCTTTTATTTTTTTTTTCAGCAATTTTCGACGGTTTCGAACAATCAAACTTGAATGAATGAATCAACAAACTTAAACATGCTAACAATTTATTTAGATATAATAATTCAGTATCGATGATGTTGATGATGATGATGAACAAAACAAAAAAAATGTCTGAAAAAATGCTTACCATCATCATTATTTTGCATCATACATTTATTTTAAGTTATTTTTTTAGAGTCACGAATTTCGAATATTTATGAACAACAACAACAGAAAAAAAATTAATATGATTCAGGTAATGTACATACTACATACGATAAAACTAAATGTCGATATGATCATCACCAAAACATTAATGTGTGTATATACTATCAATATGTTTTAATGAAATTAAAACAACGTGTTGTTTAAAAAAAACAGAATCGAAGACTCAATCGGATAGTTTGATCACTTGTTATAAATGCCGCTTTTCGAAAATGATCGGTTTTTTTTCTGACCAAATATTTATGACTGAAAATAGTCGATTATTTTGCAAAGATGTTAAGAAGAAGAAGAAAACCAGAATTTCAGGAAACAATATTTTATGAATTTCGAAAAAAAGCAGATAAATTAGTGTTTGGGTGATTGGATTGAAGGTAAAATGTTCAACTGTCTTCATTTCATAAAATACAAAATGCTCCGATCAAAATGGAAAACAAGTAAAGCTATTATCATACGAAAAAAAATAAAGGAAAATAATTTAATTAAACTGTTGTGTTTCTTGATGAAATCTAGTTATATATAACAATTTCATGTGGGAAAGAAAGGTTTTTTTTTGTTTTTTTTTTTGTAAAATGAAAAATTCATCTTACTCACATCCAGTTTATAAATGAATCAAGCAATGGATTATCATGCAAATAAGATCAGAATTTTATTTTAATTTCAAAATAAAAAAACCAAATGAAATATACATTGAATCTCATTACAGGCAATAATTCACACACACCTTGAATACCAAAAGTCAAAAAATGTCAGAATAACTAAGAAATTTGAATTCAATTTTTATCATTTCAGGCATATAATATGGTTGATCATCATCATCATCATCATCATCATCACCATCAAGAACCCATTGTGTATAACATTCATATGACTTTCGCTAATTACACTTACATACCAGGAGACAATTAAACGCAAAGTTCAATGAGAATTTTTTTTGTTTAAATTCATTTGTTGCCATTTTGCCTGTTTTGCTTTCTGATCATCATCAAGACATATGGTATTCGTCTACGACGAAATTGATCATCATCATCATCACTGTATGTATAAGAAACAAAGCAACCATGACCGATGATGTGATTCTCAACATTTTTTTTATCATGATTAGATGATGATGGTCATAGCTCGCTTCGATGAATCTTTAAACAGCAGGAAAAAAGGGTCCTGTGATTTGTGTGAGCAGAATAATTTTTTTTTTATTTCACCATCTTTCTGTCACACCAAAAGTTTATTATTATCATCATCATCATCACAATAATTATCCATAATCAAATATAAGTATGCAACAAGGTCCAAACGTTGGAGAGAAAAAAATAATGGTAATAATGGGAACTTGTTCATCATGTTTGATGATGACCAATCGAGAATGTAAAAAAGAAAATTTACATCAATTCAGATAATTTTCCCGAAGAAAAATCGTGATTTCAATTATAATTTTTCGTTCGTTTTGTTTTTAAAGAAAAAAAAACAAAATTTAAAATTTGAAAAAACAAAATTTAACCCAGCAGAAAAAAAAGGTTATATTCGTAACGATGGTCATAGTGTGAATCTAATGATGCAAAACATATTGCTATTATATGGTTTTTTTAAAAGGTGATAATGATAATAATAATAATAATAATTTACAAGATTCATTAAATATTTTTTTCGGAAATGTAAAATGTGAAATCTTACGACAAACAAAAACAAATAAAGACGACACATAATCATCAAATACGAAATAGAAATCGATCAATGAATGGATGAAGAAGAAGAAAATTTCATCAACAAAAAGAAAAACGACGATATACATTTAGATTTGATCGGTAAAGATAATACCGCACCTTTTTTTCTGCATCTCATTGTTTTAATGAATTGAATAAAATGAAATTTTTGTTCTCAATTTTTTTTGTTTTTCTGTTTCACTCTTATCATTTATCCTAAATCTATATATATATGAAATCTACACCCGTTATAGATATTGGCACCCAAAAATAAATAAATATGGGGGAATAATAAGAAAAAAAATAACCAAAAGTTATTCAAATTTAATTCTAGATATATTTTGTTTGTTTCATCTGGTTCAATGTAATAATACATTATTATATTATAACGGTGGAAGAAAAAACTGTGTTGTATTGGTTGATATGTAACTGACCGACAAGCCAACTAACCAACTAAACCAAGAGAGATAGAGTGATGTGATCTGTTTCAGCGTTTTTTATTTTCTGGACAACCAATTCTGCTTATTATCATCATCATCATATAGATTTTTACAAATTACTTATATTTGGCCCAAAAACACACACACACACATCATTTTGCTCCTTTTGTTCTTAAACCATTATAATTCTTTTGTTTTACAAATGTGTGTAATATAAATTTATATTGGTCGATGTTAAAGTTTAGCACAATAAAGAAAAACAATAGTGATGTCAATCAATCAATCAATCAATCAAAATACAAAATGGCAAGAGAATAGAAATTTAGTGAAAAATGTTTTTTAGAATGTTTTCGGAAATAAAATTAGCAAAATAGAAACTTATATAGAATGACAACCGTATCGATTAGAATATTTAACCAATGAAGAAAAAAAAACAAATTCATCATAATCGTGGTGGTAAACGAAAAAATGAAAATACACGATTTATTTTTTTTTTCGGTGTGCCACTGATCATTATAGAAAATAAAATTGAAGGAAAAAATTTTCCAATTCAAATATTTAGTGAAATATTAGAAAATGAACAAATTAATTGAAAAAAAAGTGGAAAAAAATTCTAGCAAAGATATGATCAGACCACCGCCAACGTATTAGTCTGCCACATCTTTGGAATTTTGTTCATAATAATCTCCTGTGTCTTTAGGGCATAAAATTTCTTATGGCTAAATTATATGAATCTATCATATCATACCGGATCCATATACATAAGTTTGTTCAGTGCAATACAAGATAATCGAATAGTCACGAGGATAAAAATTCCTATACAAATCTTGGCCATATTGTGCATATACGAATGAACGCGTGATTTTATTGTAAAATGTAATCAAATATTTACCGAACGAGGATAGTTATTTAAATTGTTAAAAAAATTGTTGTCAATGAGAAAAAAAATGTTTGTTTTTTTTTACTTTCTATCATTGCTTTGACTAAAATCGACAATATTTTTATCCGACCGGAAAGATGCTTGAAATGATTGAAAAAGGTGGCTAAAATTTTTTTGACACACCTTTAAATCATATAAATATTTCCGCTCGAAAGTTGTAAATTTGACCAATTTACAGCAAGAACCAAGTTCGGAAGAAATAGGCAAAAACAAACTAATGACACATGGAAAAAGCATCGATCTTTCAAAGTTTCAAATGTATATGACAAGTTAAATTAATTTATCTTAAAATCCGATTTCAATCAAACAATGGCCAATGTTTTTTCTGGTATTTTTCTTTCATTTCTTTTTTTTGATCTAAGCCTCAGGGCAGTGTATAAGTTTATTCAACGTTGATGATAATTAGTTTTGTTTTTTTTTATTTTACTGGCTTCATACTTGCAATTCATTTTTCATTCCATATTCGTGAATCTTCACTAATTCTAAGTAGAGCATGATAGATTTGGCGAGAAAAAACAGAAATACCAATAATAGAATACTGTTTGTAAAAATCTGGGCGAAAAAAACAGCTTTTTCAAAAAAAATCGGACAGATAAAAAAGATTGATCATTATTATATGGTGTATATATGCGCTAAACGTAAAGAAAAAACAACAACAAAATCTGCCACCTTCAGATTGTATCACATTAACCCGTAAGGGCCAAATTAAATCAAAAAGAAATTATTCTTTTCGTAACAGTATTTTTTTTGAAATCTATGTTTTACAAACAACAACAAGATTTTGTCTTTAAACAAAATAATGATTAAATTCCAGACCATCTAATTGGGTGTCATAGTGTGAATTGTCAGTCAATATATTTTAGTCGTTTGGGTGTTGGTGGTGGTATATGATAGTGTTTTACTTTGAGCATTGATGCATAATATATCTTAAAAAGAAAATCAAAAGAAACAGAAAAAAAACGAATCTATTTATCAATCAGTGAAACAAGATAATTGATCGATGAAATATATTTGATAAAAAATACCCGAAAAGGAGTGTATTTTCAAATGGAAAATGGCAACGAAAAAAATTGAATCAAATCACACATTTAAACCCTATAGGTTATTTATTTTCAAAAAAAAAAAATCAACAGACATAAATCATTACTGATAAAATGATAATGATGATGCGATGAAATGAAATTGGAATAGAAATGAATATATGAATTTTGCTGTTGTTTTTGTTGCTGAAAAATGAGAGCAAAAAGAAATGAGATTCGAATGAATGAATGAATGAATGATTTAAGGAAGAAAAGGTGAATAATGTATTGATCAATCAATCACACAAGACAGGTAAAGTATTGCCAAAATACCAAGAAAAAAACAAAACAAAAAATTAATAAATCACCATTGCATTATAATCAACTCTCACATTCAATCTGTTTATATGCAATCCTTACAAACCGGATATTTATGATAATTATAATCAACAACTTGTCGACAGATTCAATGATGATGATGATGATCAGTGATCATCATCATTATTATAATGATCTTGAATCATTGAAACACTGGGAAGAAGAAGAAGAAGAAGAAAAAACTTATTTAAATGTAAACGTAATCATTAAAATTTAACAGTTATAATACCATATTTGTATGTTTGAATAGAAAATTTTTCAATTTAAAGAATTGTAAGTGTTAAATTTCAATAAACTAGTTTTATTCAACAACATTGGCCGGGAATAGAAGAATTTGAAATGAATGGGAAGAAGCAGGTAAAAAAAAATTCATTTCAATTCAACTTACAAAAAAACTAATGATGTTTTTTTTCTCTGGTTTAATCAAAGATAGTAGGATTTATTTCGAGCACACACACAAAAAAACCCGGATAACGAAAAGTCCTGATGATGATTGAAGACAGCTTGATTGAAATTACAAATGAAATGACAATGAATTTTCAATGTTGACTGTTGATTGTTATGGATCTAAAAATCCTCTTCAAAATGAAATGATTGAATGTTTTATTTTCCCTTGAAATTTGTTGCTAATCGAATGCAAACAAACAAACAAACAAACAAAAAAAGAAGAATTCTTCTAATAGAATTGGCCGTAGAGAGAAAAACATTGTTGTTATTATTTTCATTTGCAACAACAAAAAAAAAACAATATTTAGTCAGTCGATTATCTTACCCATTGTACATAATAATCGTCATCATCATCATCATCATAATCAAAATATTATTGTTGCTGTGTTTTCATTATATAACCACAATATAAGAAATGTCATTATGACTTTGAATGAATGAATGAATGAATCTTCAATGATAATAATAATAATAATTTAACGTAAATACAATGACAACATTTTTTTGATGAATGAAGATTCATTTTTATTCACATGATCATGTCAACGAATAAAAATAACCAGATGAAAATCTAATGACATGATGATGTTGATGATAATGGCTAAGGTTTTACGATAATAATGATAATCAGAAAATTTTCCAAAACAAACTACCTACACACGCACGATATTTTTTCAATACTACCTGTCGTGTGCGTGCGTGTGTGAATACACCAAATGAACAGGAAAAAAAATGATAACAGAAATTGAAACTACAATTAATTAATTAATTGTGAATCAAAAAACTACACAGTAGTGAATGAGAGAAGAAAAAAAAAGCTATTTGTAATTTTTTTTTCAATTACATCTGCTCTTTTATAATTCTCATCATCATCTATGTCACACAACGGAAATCATTTTAAGATGCAGATGTTTAACAACAACAACAAAAAATCTGCCCTTACCAAAACGGGTGAATGTTTTTCTCTTCATTCATTCAATTACCCTCCATTACTATTAGTCAGTTAATTTGATGATGATACCGAACAACAACAACAACAACAAAAACCGAGAAAAAAGATCGAATTAAATTAACGAATTAATTATCCATGCATCAAACTTGATAATCAAGTTCATCATCATTATTCAATAAAATTCCGATTATTGAATTTCAATATGATAATAATAATAATTGAAGAATTAACCGAAATGTTTGGCAATCAATGGAATCATCAATCAAAAAAATTTTGCCACAATAAGAAAAAAAAGATATGGTAATAATGAAAAAAATATATAGATCAGAATGCTATTCAGTTGTAATAGTTTGTAGGGTTCGGCATCAGTTACAAAGAGTATAATTATCGATAAAATAAATGATGAGTATTACAGAAGCAAATAATAAAGGAGAATGTGGCCTTCAAATAAATGTTTTTGATGGTTTTGAATGAGGAAAAAGACTTTAATAATTTATAAACAGCAAATTTTTTTTAGTTATAAAATTAATTCGCAAAAAAAATTATTCAATAGGAAATAACAAAAAAAATGTGGATGAATGTCGGTAAAAAATCTAAAATATTCTTGCCTAAAGCTGATGATTAATAATTGAATTAATGATTCGGTGCAGCGATTTACCCAACGACACAAACACACACATTGAAAATCATTGAATCGATTTATTCAATTTGGAAATACAAGACGATGGTGACAAAACAATCATCATTAGCGGAAATTCCATTGGAATTTTTTTTTCTGTGAACAAACAAAAATTTTTCAACAAAAAATAACCATTGTATATGGAGCAATCAATCAAGTGCAACGTTCAAAAAATTTGAGAATTTTTTATTGGAATGAAGAATTTCAATGAAAAAAAAATAATCATTTGAATAAGAGAAAAAAAAGATCACTTACTTATTTCGAAATGATGATCATCATCATGATCTGTACGAATGGATCGTCTTGATGGAGATGATGATGATGATGATCGTCATAGTCATTGATTCATTCACTTGATGATTGTAGGTATTTATTTTTTATTATTATTTCATTCATTCATTCACCGATGGTGGTCGATGTTTTTTTTTGGCTGTTCTTCTCTACATTCGACATATGTCCATACATAACCAACAATCATCAGATTTGTCCGCCTGACCAAACTGAGAACAAAAAAAACTGAATAGAATAAAGAAATGTGATCACACACGATGTAGAAGAAGAAGAAGAAGAAATCAAATGTTAAAGCAGATGAAGAAGAAAAAAAATGTATTCAATGATCATTTAGACATCGATGATGATCATCATCGAAAAAAATCACCGAATAGTCCAAAACAATTGGCTTAGTAAATTTTCAAAACTTGTTTGTCAAATAAAGGTGAGTCTTTCCAAGGAAGTGAAATTGGGCGAACAAAATTCGTTTTCATTTGAACAATACTTTTGATTTAACAACAACAACAACAACAGAAACGAAAACATTATTACATGACCGGATGATTGTTGTTATAATGATGATGATGATGATGGAAAGCAATTTGATTTTGTTACACTTTCCATGAATTTTACGCGTGCATTCGAATACACATGCACATATATGATTCACAAGTGTTAAGAAAAGATCAGACTATGATCATTGATCGACCACCAAGCTCGATGGATGGTCAATTGTTGAATGAAAAATATTGTATGTAAAGAAGAAGAAAAAAAAAATATAGAGATAGCCAACACGATCATCTTATGATGAGCGAATGAATGAGAATGAGAGCATTATGTCTTATCAGTTATGTAGTTTTTTTTTGTTGGTCGTGGTTCTATACTAAATGAATAAAAGAATGATTGCTTCTATTGTATATATGTCCTATGCAATGGTTGAGACAAAAATCCATCAATACATTTTCGTAAAAAAAAATGAGAGAAGCAAAGATAATTATATACCAAAAACAAGGAATTCACATATCAAAATGATGAAAATATTCTAAAATATTTGAAATGATCAACTTGGTTTTTTTAAGATGATGTTCATATAATAGTCTTATTTTTTTAATCGATTATACAGACAATTTTTTTTTTTTGATTGAATATAATCTATTCAGTTTAAATAGAACCTGTGATGAATAATGGCGGAACAATCACTGTATGAACTGGTGAATCCACAATAAACTAGCAATGTATAAACCAATGCAAACAAAAAGGTTCACATGTTGATTTTGAGGTGAGCAAAAAAAATTCCAAAATCTGTCCCTAAATACAAAAATGTCTACTCGCACATTATATCGACGATATTTAGAAATTGTTCAACATTGGCCTTTAGATCCAAATAAACCATCTCGTGATCTAGGTGTTTATATTCGTTCCCGAATCAATAAACATTTTCCTAAAGGTGAAATTACTCCCATTGATTCATCATCGATTCCAACTTTAACTGCCGAAATTGATGCATTAGAACGTTTGACGACAAATGTTAATCGTGATTCAAATCGTTATAAAGATTGTTCAACAGCTTCTGGTATGACAGCCGAACAATTATCCCATGTTACATCTAGTGAATCAATCAAATCTTTTAATGAATTCTATGATTCTGGAATGGTTAATTCATTGAAATATCGATTCTTTTCCATGTTCACAAAATAAAATCCAAATCAATATTTTTATATTTTAATAGTTTAGCAATAAAAAAAATCTAGTTTCATCATGTTTGAATTGTTAAAAGAAGGTCCATACGTTTGTATTCATTGTGGTTATCCCGATAATAAAGATGTCTATAAAATTTATGGTGATCAGGTTAGACATCATAGTCGATCACCATCATCAGCATTATGGTTGGCTACGACATCATCGACTACTTCAACTATTACCGATAATAATGATGTTCATAACCAACAAAAACGAAGTAAATTAACACCTCGATTGACCAAATGTCAACGTTGTCAAAGATTAGTGGATGAATATGTTCAATTGGATTATAATATTCTATATTTGGATGCTATCCTACAGAAAATTTCATTCTATCGTCATATTTTACATAATTGTCGAATGGCAAGCAATAAAAGTGCATTGAAAATGGCGTTAATTTTTTATTTCTGTGAAGCATTTCAACGTTGGTCTACATCGAATGGTGTTACATTCACATCGGAAAGGAAAACCACACCAGTATCATCATCATCATCATCATCGGCATCATCATATTTTCAACTAGAAGTGAGCTTCTATTATAATTTCCTATGCATCATTCTTGAATCTTCATTGTTCAATCTATTATTCTATTGTCTTTTCAAAATGGCCCTCACCTTTGTCATCAACCGACAGAACAATTGTCATTATCCAATGAACAAGCAAGGGATATCATCATTTAAAGAAATGTTCATGTCTTTGATCATTTGTTCATATGGAAAATTATTTCTTTTACCGTGCATACTTTATGGTGGAGATCTAAAACCGATTCTTGAATTATTCATCAAAATTTTTTACCTTTTTTCTCTGGTTCAATGTTCAAATGTTAAATCTCATTCGATGTTGAATCGTTTCTATTCAATATTGTTAGTATTGTTTGCCTATTTGATTCACATGTTTTTAGTTGCTAATCTACATTGGCTATTACCTTCAAAATTTATTAATAAATTACAATATTTTCTTGTTTAAAAAAATAAATTTTAATCAAATTCATTGAATATCTTTTTCTTCATGATGATCATCTTCATCGGTATTTTTCTCGACTATTACGAATCCTTCTAAATTATTACTTAAAGGTTTATATGATTCTGTTGCCAATTCTGCCCTCTCGTTTTGATTAAGAACAACAGGCGTTGTAGATAAACCGAATGCCGTTATAGCGCGTGGTTTCCATCCGGCAACACCAATCGTATCTAATGCTTGGCCAACACGAACAGGTAAAGGAATCGAATTCATTTCGGTGTTCAATGTGACTAGTAATTTTGGACGAATAGAACCGGCTATAAATAGAAGATAGTAATGATGTTGTTGGATCAAATCATTCACAGGATCAACAAACAAACGAAACATGATAGGCATAATTGATGCCAATGAACTTTGTCTTAATAATTTTAATGTTTCCATCTGTGGTGATAATGTTAAAAGTCCTTTGCCCAAATAAAGCAGACCTTGAGACACTTTGATGACAAATAAACGATTTACTTTATCACGATTAGCACCATCTAGCTCGGTCAACATTCGAGATACTCGTGCATGATTAGTTCCGGCACATACAAATCCCAATGCTAAGATTGCATTGATAGCAATAATTTCATCAGTAAAATGACAATACTTATAAAGAAGATCGATCACATGCATCTTTGGATCAGATAAATGTGTCAATGCAATCGCTATGATAACCGATGCTTTAATACGAACGCTACCAAGTTTCAAAAATCGTATAAACGTATGAAAGACCATTTCAGAATTTAGCTGATCGCTGATAGAAATTAGGCCAATACCGATGATGGATAACAATTGAATCAATTCATCATCAGTAACGGGAGGTAAATCATCTTTTTTATCTTTTTTATCATTTTTCTCTTTGTCTTTTTTGCTTTCATCATCATTAGGTTCTTCTGGTTTTTTCTTCAATTCATCAGTTATAATAGGACTACAATTACAAATTAATTTTTGAATTTTTAAAATATTTGATGATCCAGTGTAAGCACAAATTTCAACACAAAGTAATAAATATTTTTTCAAACTTAATCTTGTCGATGTTGTTGATGTGGATTCTACTGTGGATGTATTCGACCTTTCTGCCCTCGGTTTATCAAATCGTTTATTGATTAAATCAATATACGTTGGCAGATCCTCTCTATGGAACATGGCCACCAGGCCAATTGCGTGAATCAAATCTCGTGTATTCGAATCGGATAGTTTCATGTTGTCGCTATTTCTATCTAATATTTTAACCAAACGATTAATGATCGTCATATTGCCAGTGGAATGTGCAATTAAGCCACAAGCTAATGCACTCAATTCCAAAGGGTGTTGTTTTTGACGAATACGTTCACATGATCTGCCCACAATTGGTTCTAAAACTGAATTGATCACATCACCATGATTAGTGCCTAAATATGCCATAGCCAATCCTACAATCGAACCGATACGAATCGATTGTGAACGATTCGTGATATAATCCTTAAGCAATTGATATGCAGGTTCATGATCAGATTTGATTGATGTGCTGATCAAACCGAATGCCATCAATGCGCCCGCTTTGATATTTTCATCTCTGATTCGTAAAAATCGATCTACTTTTAGTGGACCATTTTGCATATCCCATAAACATAAGATACCTATCGTAGCTGTTGCCGTCATTCTACACAAATCTTTATGACGACCAATCCAATCAGGTCCACCAAAAACTAGTTTATCAGTACCGAAAGCAGCATTAATAAAACAATTCATAAATGAAGTTGCAAGAACTGATTGTTTGCTATATGTTGGAAGTAATACTCTTTTTCGGCGATTTCGTCTACTACTATTCTTATGGACAATCTCATGAGGAACTTTCGGTTTAAGTAGATCCAATTGTTTAGCAACCAATAAAAATTCCTGACTTAGTCGATGATTCGATAATGCATCTAACAAAAGTTGATCATTTTCGATAAAATTTCGCAATCGATGAGAAAATTCATCATCATTAATAAATGAAATATTATGTCTGGCCAAAATTAAAGCCATTTGCCGACGTATAAGTGAATCAGAACATAAGAGAAAAATCTTTACAACGATTGCTTTGCTCTGCAATTGTATGGCAACGAACAAAGCATCGATGTATAATTTATGATCCAAATACAATGATAATGCTGCGTACAAAATGTTTTGACTTTCGGTTTCATCAACATATAAGCTACTGGCTATCAGATATTGACAAACTTTTTCACATAGATCAACGCCATGAATGATGGTTTCCAGCATTGTTAACTGTTCAACTTCTAGCAACAGATCACAAGCTTCGATTTCGGAATTTTGTTTCATGAAATACATGGCACATTCTTGTATCAAATTCGAAAACGTTTTCTTATCATCACTGGATGAATTTTTCCATAATTCAATTAGATCTTTCGATAGATTTCGTACGTATGACATTCCATATCGAGTAATCAAATTTTTCGAACCAAGCATATAGTATTTAACAATTTGACCTTTGATTTCGGCACAACGTCCCGTACATGTATACGATATAATATCGGCCAAAATCTGTTTTACACGTTCATTAGATTTATTTTCATAGAGTCGTTTCAAATCAGTCTCAAATAACATTAATACTTTTAATATATCAGGAATTCGATCAAATCCAGTAGCCGTATCAATATGTCGAGTAATTTTGGCCAATGTTTCTAAATCATCATCTGCATCATCATTACCACTAGCTGACAATAATTTTATCAATACAGTTATTTCTAGTTTTAAATCCTGAAATGATGATTCTTCCAATTTTTTATCAATGTTAATATTTGACGGATTTTTACGGCCAATATCATTTGATGTTATACTTTGACTACTCATTCTATTAAAATTGATCAAAAATAAAAATCAAAACGCTAAAACATATGCATTGATTCGAACATTTTATACACAATTTCATTGTTTTTTATGACAATTATTTTTGTTTTATTAAATTGATTAATAAATAAAATTTATGTTCGTAAAAATCATTCATATCCATTTCATAATCAAAAAAACTTTTTTTGTTTGTTTGTTTGTTACATTCCAAAATTTGATTAAAATTTGCCTGAATGAATAATAATACTTGTTTGTTTTATGGTCAAGACAAATACTCTTTTTTAAAATGTTTGGAATCGTGTGAGAAAAAATATTTTGCCTTATAATTGGATAATTGGATTGGGACACAAAATACCATTTTGTATGCAACCTACGTATTATATATACAACGCAACAAATAAAAAAAACTGAAAAAAATTGAAGTTGTACAAAATTGAAAAAAAAATTACAATCAAAAAAAAACCTAAACATAATGATAAAAAGAAAAATTTGCATGTCATCAATCTCTGTTTTTTGTTTGTATATCGGGAATCGATCAATTTTATGATCTATTCTCAATAAGCAATTATGAGCGAATATCACGAATCAAATTGAAAATAAAAGATGAACAAAAAAAAAAGATGTAGAAAAAAAACGAAATGAATTGAATGGTATAATAATAATAATAAATAACAGCAAAAAAAAAATTAATATGTGGTTCCCGTGGTAATGGTGCCATTTTTTGTTTGTTTCCAATCTATTGATTATAGTGATTAGTTCATATGAAATGATGATGATGAAAAAAAATAACTTTGTAGTAATTCAGGAGTTTTTTTTTTTTGGTGAAAGTGGATGGCTGATGATTATTTGTTATCGAATAATTAATTAGTAGATGTTGATGTTGTGGTGGCACTTGACGTTTTGTCTTCTTTTTTTCTATAGATTGAAATTTGAAAGGAAAATTTTTCTTTTGTGTTTGGTTATATATCGATTATTGAAATCCATTCATTCAATTCAGCTTTATCATAAATAATAATAAATAAATTAGTTAGATGAAAAAGAATAATAATAAAAAAATCCAATGAATCACGCAAAATGTGACTGTGTGTATGCAATTTGAGTAAATTTTGAAATTACTCGGTAAAACTTTCGTCATAAAAAAATGATCATCGCCGGTTGAGTTCAACTTTCAATGCTAATTGCGAAAAAAAGACAAAATTAGTGAAATTCAATAAAAATAAATGACATGATTACACAAACCATCAATTATGTCCAATTTAATCTTTTGTAATTCTTTACGTATATCATTCATGATTTCCATGCGTAAACGATCCATATCGTTATCAGAGATGCCATTAATTTTTGTTTGATCATCATTGTTGGATATGCCGGTTCGCCTATTGACAAAATTATGCAATAGAAATTCAAAGAAAGGAAATCAAACATCAATGTCACCATTATACCTATTGTGATAATCTTTTGAATCGTCTTTCGATGGACTGCAGCCATTGACCATGGATGTTTTATTTCCATCTTTATTACTGAAACGATCATTGTTGCAACCATCCTGAGGATTCTGTGGTTGATTACTTTCAGCTTGAGCTCTTCTCCTAGCTAATGTTTTGGCCATCTCATCCATCAGATTTCCAGGTGCGGCATTACGGGCGGCGGCAACACTTGATGATGATGAAGTAGATGAGTTGTCACCACCGCTATTGCCACCATCTTCTTTAATAGATGTTGTTCGTTTTAGTTTAGCATTGGCAATGGCTGCAGCAAGATTGATCGGTGCATTAGAATTTGTCGCAATCGAATTCATCACTTGAGCTCCAGTAGCGTTTGTTGGTGGTAATCGAGATCCATTGGTGTTTGAACCACCGCAACCGCTCAATGATGAAGGAGGAGGAGGTGGCGGTGGTGGTGGAATTGACTGTGACATTGTACCCGTTGCAGTCGTTCCATTTTGGCCATTGATAATATTCCCACCGTTGAGAACTAAAACATTATTAGCGGTGGGCGTTAAATTTGATGACGATGTTATAGTCGATGAAGGAGGTGGTGGTGGTGGAGGAGGAATTGACTGCTGAGGCATTTGAGACATCGGTTGATGTTGTTGCTGGACTACTTGAGCGATTGTTCCCGTTGTCGGAATTGAATTTCGATGAATCAAATGGCCACTGCTCATATAAGTTGGCTGCGGTTGTTGTTGTGAGATATTAGTCATCGATTGATGCTGTGTCATGATCGGTGCTGCATGATGATTATGAGCATCAACACCACCAGCCGTCATAATGGGATGTTGAGAATGAATCATGGTTTGATGATGTATGGTTGTAGCTGCAGCTACATGATGATCCAATGTTTGGTTATTACTATTAGTGTTGTTGTTGATATGATTTGAATGCCAACCGTTTTGCTGTTGTTGCGGTTGTGTAATCGGCGGTTGCTGCTGTTGTTGTTGTTGCGGCAGTGGCTGCTGCTGTGAACGTAAATCACCATATTCTTCAGGTGGGCCAATATGACCATACAATGGCTGTTGTTGTTGTTGTGACTTGGTCGTACCATAGGTATTTTGATTCAATAGATCAATCACTTTCATCATAGTATGAGCAAATGCATCGGCTTCATCTTTGCTGCTAAAATTTAGGCCATGAACCTGACGATTTTCACGCCATTGATGAAATATGGGAGTCGCTTGATTATATTTCAAATTTTTCAATATAGCACAATTGATGACAACCTGATTCAATTATAGAAAGAATTGATTTTTAACAGATAAGCATACATTATTGAAATGTATACAAACCTCATGATCTTGTATTTTTCTTCCTACCACTCTAAATGAATTATTCTGTATATTATGATAGATATGAACGCGCGAAAGGCCACTTGATGTGCCACTCGGTAACCATTTTTTATTTGTATCATCATAAATCATAACCGAAGCACGAGCAGAAGTGATTGATGTTTCCGTATTGCTGATTGAAATAAACAAAAAAAAAAAAGATTATATAATCATGCCAATAGTTTTTGATTGATAAATCAATAATGAACATCACTGACCTCATTTTCGGCTGATTTTTTTCCGCTTGTTGACAGTTTGACAATACGAATTGTTGACGAAATTGGTTTAGTGTGTTTTAGTTGTTATGTTATTTAGATAAATCTAGAATTTTATACCTATGAAATTCCGGAAGAATTTCTTCCTTATTTTCAAATGAAATCAAATCTATATGTCAACCTGTTAGGTTTTATTTCGACATTGATTGACAATCATTATTTTCACTGGTTGTTGCTATTGTTGATGACGATGTATATAAATGTTGTTGTCGATGACTTGCAGAGATCAGAAACGTCATACACGATCCGTTTATGAGTATGAGGCATGAAAGGATTTTTTTTTCTTCGCTTGTCGAATACTCTATCCTTTCTCTTTTTCTCACTCGAAAATTGAAATCTATTTTGGCTGATATCCGTGTGTGGTTTGAGATTTTTTTTTTTGCAATTAGAAAAAGTTCGATTTAAATTTTGGTATAGTGGAAATAGAAGCAGGATTTGGTGATCTCTTTCTCTGTGTGTGAATGTATGTCTGAGAATAAAAAATACTGTGTCAAACTACTTGTTTAAAATAATTATTTAAAAAAAAACATTAAATTGATATTATCATTTTATTTATCGTTCTATAGAGATTTTGAATAAAACATACCTCTTCTTTTACCGATGAAATAAATAGAAGAACATTAAGAATTATTTTAAAGAATGACACAATAAAAAAAAAATTTGGAACAAGAATTGTCATCTATTGTATATGAGTATATTCATCATCAACACAAATAAAAACTTCTACTTTTTATATATTCAACATAAAAACAATTCTTCCTGAATCTGTGAGTAGAGCAGAATTTTTATCACAAAAAAAAACACTGGACTTAAAAGAGCAAGTCGATGATAGCAGTGTTTAGAATTACACATTTATTTTATTTTATATTCCAAACCACAAGATATTGTAGAAGTAGATAGAATAATGAAAAGTTCATAGTGGTAGTGGTGGGCAAAGGCGACGGATTGAAATGATGAATTTATTGAATATATCTGGCGCGCGCGTTGGGCGCTGTCCGCGATGTATAACAAACAATTTTTACCCAATATAATACCAACCGAATTGATGTCAAATACTAGCTGAATGACGGACACAAATAATGGTAATAGCAGATGACTAACACCAACGCCAACAAACTTTCAAAATATATATATCAAAGTGAGGAGAGAATTTCAATTGGCCAAATGAAAAAGAAAAAAATTCGAATGAAATTCGAGGTGGTGGCGGTCACGAATTTGATTCGTAAAGAATTTCAACAATCGATCCCATCACTAGCAAGCACACACACAAGAGAAGAAGGACCAAAGTTAGTTAGATGGTTCCGAAATCCCAGTTTTATTTTGAATATAACGCAAAATGGATCTTCCTATACATACACAAACATTTATATTGATTTTGATTGTTTTGAAAGTGTAAATGTCTGGTCTGGTAGTTGGGTTTTTTTTTCTTGCAAAATAAACACAAAAATGAGAACAAAGCGCGATAAGGTCAATTCAACTAAGCTGGTTGATTGGTTAGTAGGTATAAGGGACCAACACAAAAAACAACCAAGTTAAACCATGAACCAATTTCCTTTTAACAATAAGTTATGGTTGAATATAATAATGATGGATTCGCGCATCTTTTGTATACAAATCTATCGGCCTATCATATTTGAATACAGCTGCATCAAAAATTGACCTCTGCCATCAATGGACCGACAATCTTATCATTCAGTTTCGAAAGCGGCAAGCTAATAGAAATCATATCTCTCAAACCCCATTCTATTGTAATAATTCTTAATATTTATTCTATATGCTACTACCACGGCACGAGTTCGAGCAGGTAATAGCAGTGTATATTTTATGTGAGTTTTTTTTTTGGATTGGGGTACCATAAATAGAGCACGTGACCATTTACTATATTTAACCGTTATTCTTTGATTTTAAAACCTGATTAATATTAATATTAGAAAGAGAGATTTGAGTTTATTTTTTTTAATATATTAAAAAATCATTCATTAATCAGTAGCTGAAGAATTATTGACAGTATCCAATTGAATGACGCGTAATTTTTGCGTATCTGCCAATATACAAGCACAATCATTATCATTGCCGCAATAATGGGAACAGGAAAATATGGTGACACATTTATTTCCAAAATGAAATGTATATCCATTAGGTGGAACTTCATGTGCACGTATTATATGTGTTAGGCCATTTTTCCTTAGAAAATTTGTCGCACCATTTTCATTAAATAAAAATGCTGTACCACGTTTAGTGTTCTTGATGAAACCATTCAAATTATCCGGATTTAGATTGAGAAGGTCAGCAACTTCAAGATATTGTTGCATATGGCATGGATCAGACCATAGTATTTCCCAAGCAGCTCTTGATTCACGTTCCGGATCTTTTAATTCCTGTTTGATTTTGATCAATTGTTCGATTTCCGTTGCGCTTCTTGGTAAACCTCCATGTGCACAGAAAATACAATCATCCACTAATGCACAAACCGGTAATTTATCAAATATTCGATTCGTTAGTTCCCAAATTTTTAGTCCAAAAATATCGCCATATTTATTAATACATTCTCGTTTGTATGTATAATTTGATTGAATAAGCCGAACTTCATGATTGCCACGCAACAATGTTACTTTATTTGGGCATAGAATTTTGAATGCAAACAAATACATAGCACATTCGAATCCCCATTGACCACGATCAACATAATCACCAAGAAAAAGATAATTGGCTCCAATGCATGGTATCTGTTTCCATAGGGCTTTTTCCAATGAAAATAAATCTTCAATATTGCCATGTATGTCACCCATTATGAAACAGGGTGAATAGATCTTATGGCATTTATATTCATTTTTTAGCAATAATTCAAGTTCACCATTGATCGACAATAATAATTTCCATAGATCTTCTTTTCGATCTTGCATTAAACCGTTTGGATTTCGAACCGTACCTTTATTGTTGCTAAAATCTCTTACCAAATTGATGATAATGTTGGCTGCTGAATTTCGATTGAATACTGTTTCTATCGAATATTGCTGTGCTGTTAGATGTTCTTTACGATGATTGTTTTGACTGATGGCTGAATCTTCCTGATATTTGCTGATTATACGTTTGATTTTAAGATTTCCATGTGAATCAAATTTTACAGAATGAGTTGCAAGGTCGTATTTTTTATCTTTACATGGTTTGCACAATCCTGAATATCGACGTTTGATTAATACGTTGCTCAAAGCTTTTTCCGCACGGCGAAGACCTTTGGCCACCAATGCTCTTGATATTTGACTGAAAATACCTTTTTGATAACGACATAGTACCGATGTACCACGGAATCGAAGATTACCAATGGCCGAAACAAAATCTCTTTCCGTAATGATAAAATCGCCATTACTCGCTTCTTTAACATTCATACAGGTCATTGCCTGTTTAATTCGTGTATCAATTGTATTAGGATCAGAATTAATTTCAAGCAAAGCTCTTCGCAAACATTCTCTGTTCATGATTCCTGAATCATCGCTGAAAAAACGATAAATGAATTTAACACGAAATTTTCCGTGCTGTATTGTCGGTTCCATACAAGCAAGACCAAGAAGTAATTCATGGAATGATATAAAATTAGATTTTGTATAGTTGAATCCACGAAAAAATCGCACCAGACGTGAATCATTTTTTTCAAATTCACGTTTTTTCATATAGCATTTGAATGATTCAATCGACATGGCAAAACTTGGATAACAATGTACAAGAAAATCTTCATACAAACGTTCCACATCTTTTTCCGTTATATGAATCGGCTTAAGCATCTCTTCCTCAAGATTACGCGGAGGATCACGTGGAACATAAAGAAATACCTCTTCCATGCTATATTCCGTTATTCTTGTTTCTTTTATTGCATTCAGATTGTTTACAAATTCCAACAATTCTGGTCCCCAAAAATTGTGGTATTTAGTGATTTCATTAACCGATACCCATTCAAGATTATCAGTATTTTGACCACATTGAAATTGTGAATAGCTATGGCCACTACTACTGCACTTTATTCTGAAATAATAGATTAGCCGAGTAATAAATCGCATAGTTCGTGGCATCTGTAATCGTAACACTTGCATACACATAAAATGTTCATAAGGTGGATGTTCTTTGAATGTATTTACACGATCCGGATCACCACCAGAAATAATAATGATAAAGCCAAGAATAGCATTATCTTCCCAACCAAGATTATGTAACAACGATATGAATGGCATCCATACCACATGATCTTGATGATTGATTAGGATTCGATTGTGTACGGGACAATGTATGACGAATGCACAGCAATCATATTTACCCGATGATCCCATAAGACCATTTTCAGGTCTTAATTTTACAAAACGTTGAGCATCATTTAAATTTAGTTGTTGATCTTTACTTGATTTTTTATTATTAATTGATGATGATTTTTGTATTAATTTCATTGATTTCATTGTTTTAAGTTTTGTTGATGCAGAAAATGATCGTGTCGACTGCAAGGAATTTATTCGATCTTTAGTGCTAGCGGTACTCATAACTAACGATCGCAAAAACAAATCACATCGGTTGGATTAAAATTAATCGTTCCTTAAAATAATCAATTCATTCATATTGTTGAAATTCAAATTCGAATTAATTTGATTATCGAACAAACGATGGTGCCACCATCTCGGTCGATTAAGACGATGACGTATTTTTTTTAACACTCGTATTTACAATCATGTGGATTTGTTTTGATGCAATGCAAACGAAAATAACTTTGTTTTATGTTTTTTCTTGACCTGTAAAATTTGATAAAAGATTAAAACATGATCGAGCATCTAAATACTCGACGAATGATTGCTGTGATTGTAGTTCTAATCCTTCTATGCATTATTATTGTGATACTCGAAGAAACAATCACCGATAATGTTGATCGTCCAACATTTTATCTTAACCAACAACAACAACATCATCATCAAAAACTGCCTTCTTCAGGAAATAATAATTCGAATATTCATTTTATTGAACATCATCATAATGAATCTAAAGAGCCGATAAAATCGTTCGCAAAAGATTCAATCAATGTCCACCAAACATCATGTTTGAACGATGAACCATTTGTGGTTCAAACACGATGTACGCTTTGTTCTTTATCTGAACGTACGAATCATATTCCTTATTGTATATCAACCGGTTATAAAGAACAAATTTATTGTCAAAATTCTGGCCAAAAAATATGGCAATCTTGTGATTCAATAATTTCAATGTTTTACATGTTTGAATTATTCATGTTACTTATGTCGATCGTTTTTACATTCTATGTCCGAAAACGTCAAAGCTTACTAAATCGTGCCATTTTAAGCCGTATCGAAAAACAAATTTCATCTGGTGTTTAAAAGAATAATTGATATGTTTGTACTAATATTAAATCTTCAATTTTAAAATAATAATGATAATAATAAAAGACCTAAAAATTTTCCATTTGAAAAAAATCATTTTAAGCTATTATAAGATCTAGCGGTTAGCAGAAAGAAGAAAAAAGGTCAACACTTATCACTACAGGACTGGTTTCTGTATACATCGATTATTATATTATGTGTTGGCCATTTTTATTGAGAACATAAACAAATGAATTAGAAGACAAAGAGCGAGTCCATTGAATGAATAGAATGACCACAAGTTTAAAATTGTGGCTAATATAAACACAGGCATTGTGTTATGAAGATCATTGATTCAAAAATAAAAATTTGTGGTCATCAGTTAATTTTATTTTTAAAAAATCATTGAAAAATAACGAACAAACATGTATCTATTTCAATTTATATTGAAGATGTTTACCATCATCATCATGATACAGCTTTTTATGGTGGTCAATCAAGTGGATTCAGCATTCGAATTAGCATGTATGGATAAATGTTTGAAAACAAGACGATGTAAAAAATATGGAACATTTACAGTTGATTATGATTGCGATAAACAATGTAAAAAGAAATGCTATAAGGTATGACAAATTTTTTTCCATATTCAATTCTAATTCTTTATATTTTGAAATGAAAACTCTAGACAAAAACATAAACAAAACTGAAACCGATATAATGGCCTGGAACATTTTTTTTCGATCGATTTTTGAAAATGAATTTGAATCAAATAAATTTAAAACGAATAAAATTAAAATAATTAATATTCAAATGAAATAATAAAAGTCATGTATTTTGTGTGTAATCAATTTCCATAATAATCAGTTATAATAGTTATTTCGAAATTGTAATTGATAATCGATATATTTGTTGTTTGATATCTGATTTCGTTGATTCTATTTCTTCTCTATAGAAATTGTCAAGAGACCGATACAATTCTATATCCAACAATGATGTTATATTATGGGTGAATGAAAGATTCCTTTAGGAATTGATATTTTACTTTTAACAATGGTTTCATTTGATGACTTCATTATATACCAAAAAAGAGGTTGTCCCATAGTTGTTTGATGAATTCGTTGGGGAAAAGACCTGAACTTAAATCATTTGTTTTGGCTTTGATATTTGTGTACAATTATTTATTCTATTTTTTTCGGAAACCATTGGTGGTTTGTTTTCATTGAAATTCATACATTTGGAAATGAAATATATGTTAAAATGGTTTTCATTTCTACAAATCGAGATTAATGATGATATTGAATCACTGTGGTACTTCTTCAAAAAAAGAATGAAAGAACCCCATATGGAATGCATTTTACACACACACACACAAACATTTAGAAATGGATGCATTGTAAACTCCCATCAAGTTTCAATGGTTGAATGTGTTAGTCATTCAGTTTTTTTACAAAATAATAATAATTGTAATGATGATGATGATATTCACTCATGCTTAACATCATGAGACTTTTATTCGACCGAATAATCAGAGCTAAAAAAAATCCTGTACAGAATCTTTAATTGACTATTGTGCTAGAATTTAAATTTATCATGTGAACATTCGGTGATGGTGTGCCAATCGATCCATAAATGTTGTAGTTGAAATGAATTTTATTTTGTTTTGTTGTTTCTATCTGTTTTGTTTTTTATTCGTTGAATTTGAAGAAAATCCGAAATTCGAGCATGGAATGAAAACAAAAATATTTCTTTTTATTGAAAAAAATATGAAAAGCGATAAAGATGAAAGAAGGCGAAATGTTAGAAATGGTGATTCTTCATAGGATCAGGAAATTGATGATGAAAAAAGAATCGGAAATGATAATCGGCTGATATAACAGAATAATTGAGTTATTAGTCAGTTTGTTTTGTTTTTATTTTTGACATACGAACATATTTAACAATCCAAACTGATAGAATAAAGAATAACTATTGTTAATTTAGCAAAAAAACAAAAAAAAACAGTGAACAACAACATTATGAAATTTTTAATAATAAATGCAAAATCGAAATGTAATTCTCAGGTATGATGATGATGATGATAATGATAATTATGATGATGGACAAATTGTTTGTCATCATAATCCCATTGTAAAGTAGGGCTGACCATGATGATGATGGTCCAGATTAATCGATTCAAAGCACGAAATATCCTGTTGAATCATTTAGGGAACTTTGTAAATGAGTAAAAAAAAAGAATAGAGTTGGAAAAACAACAATCTATTAATAAACATGTCAAATATATAAATGGGCTTGAATATTATTATTATTATTATGATAGTCAAAATTGTTTGATTGTTGTTCCAAATGGTCGATTTCTATTATTACCGAACAACAACAACAAAAAAACCTCAAATGACAGAACACAGCAGCAGCATTCTTTTCATTGGCGCCTCTAATTCTGTATTACATTGAGAGAGAGAGAGAGAGAAAAAAAATACAAATTAACTTCAAAATACAAAAAAAAAATGACTATTAATGGATATAGAAATGACAACCAGGAGCTGCATATACACGCGTGCATATCATCAACTATATTCATGAAAATGAAAACTTTTTCACTTTAATCACACGCTTCATGAAACACACACACACACAATGGTTTTATTTAGGATCAAGAATCATTTGTGTGGCTATCAACAGAAAAAAAGAAAGAAAGAAATAATTCTTACCCTTATATTGTTAGAAATCAGAATCGATTCGATTCTCATTCAAAATTTTTATACATTTTTTTTCTGGATTCATAATCCGTTGAATTAAAAATTGGTCATGGTTGTGAATCGATTTGAAACACTTGCAAAAATCGTATTCACAGAATTCATTCAAAAATTTGTCCAAACCATTTTGCTAAGTATTTTTCGGAAATCTTTATTGGGAAAAAAACAAAGCATCATTACTTTGATTTTGTTTTTATTTCTCTTATCATCATACATGCACACACACATTGAATATCCAAAAAAATATATAAACATCGTTGAAAAAAAAGATTAAAATAAAGATGATGAAAATAATCTGATTAAAGTAATCAATTACATTGTCTTAGAATTTTTTCTAACATTGTTTTATTGATAATGATAATGGTTATTGGTGACACACACACAGTAATCGATGCCATAATGAAAAACATTCCTCTCTGTTCGATGATAAACAATATGGACTATTATTATCTTAAGGGAAAAACATCTATAAATAAGCATCATTATTGTTTATTTTGGGCAATGTTTCATCAAACATTTTTTTCTATTATTTAGTCATTAAGATTATCAATTACATGAAAAATATTCTAACACACTCAAATACAGGATGGACTTTTTTTTCTTTCCTCACTGTATAGATATCCCGGTGTGCTCATCATCATCATCATTCATTTTATTTTGTAAAATATCCTGTGTGTGTGTGTTCAAAATGTCAAAACCTAGCACAATGCAAATATATTCACAAAACATGAATTTGATATTAATGAAGAAGAAAAAAAGATTGATCTTTTCAGACCTGATGATATGTTGACCTTGTTTGCGATTTATATTCATCATCATCATCAACCTGCTGAAGATTGGTCGAAAATGATGATACATTTTGAATGATGATTTAGGCTTCTGAGAGAGAGAGAGAGAGAGAGATATTTTTTTTTCTATTATCAGATATTATTGCCAGCAAAAAAAACATTTTTTTTTTTCAATATAATAAATGAATATTTAGTTAGTTTTAGCTCTCATCTATCATTTCGAAATGTAAATAATTGTCAAAACAATTTTCTGTTTCTGTTGGTTAGAAGGTATATTACCTGAGTATACAATATTTGTATAAATAATTTCATGCTCATATTGGTGGCCATGAGATTATTAATCATTTTGATGATGATCATCATCATCATCGTCGTGTTCTACAGCAATATCGATGATGATGAGGTTGGATTTAATTGTTATGATGATGATGATGATGAAAGATTCTAATCATTATCATTTACAACTTTTTTTTCAAACAACAAAAAAAACAGGATGTTCTCATATGCTGATGATTTGAAGAGAAAAAAAACAAAAATCAGTAATATTTTATGCAAACAAAGACCGATAACCAATAGATGTTTTGATCGTATCGTTTTACAACACGAATTCAACACAAATTCTATGAATCTAAAATATGCAACATCGTTTTAATTATACATCAAAATGATTAAAATAAACAAACAAACATAAGATGATGCGGCTGGATAAAGTTTTGGGTAGGTGAAAAACTTGTCTGAAATTTTTTTTTTATAATTAATAATAAGCAAAACGGCAGCAGCATCAACTGCGTGGAGGTCTTCGTCTTCGTTGTTGTGTGGCCTAGGTTGGAAAAAAAAAATCCAAAAACACTGTAGAGATGAATGTTAACGATCAAAAAAAAAATTATCTCATTGATCATCGCCATTTATCAAACCATTCGAAAAAAACTCTTCATTCATTTGTTTGAAGAAGACGATGAAGAAAAAGAAATTAATTCATTGATAAACGATGTGTCGAACACGATGCAAACATTCGAATGAACCACCCAAAAAGTTAATATATTAGAAAATAAACAAACAAACAATTTAATGAATTTTGCACATAAAACCTATTATATAGGAAGCAAAGAAATAAACAACATCAATTACAACAATCATAACAATCAAGGTATTATTGATCAACAAACATCCTTAGAATGTTATGCCCAGTTCTTCATTCTTGATTCACGAATGATCATCATTCACTTCGTATTTATTTAGCATACAAAATTGATTTTTTTTCCTTTACGAAATTCATTATCACTTGAGCATAATAATAATTAATGAACAAAAAAAAAACGGTAGAAAAAGGAATGGTTTTAATTTTTTTGATAATAAGATTGGAAAAGAAAACATTTACAAAAGAAAAAATCGAATGATTGAATTTAATTTTGACAAACAAACAAACAAAAAAATTATTGCCATTAATTCCGATTGCCTATTGGTTTTGTTTCTTCTTCTTCTTCTTCGTCCTGTTTTGTTTTTTGAGCGAAATAAAAATTTCATGTGATCATCATCATCATCATAGGTGCATTATGATTTTCAAGAATTATCCGTTTATATACACACGCAAAAACAAATATTTGAAATTTTCTAAAGAATAACAATTCAAAAAAAACGGAATTCTTGTTCATACATACATAGAGACTAACAAAATAGAAAAAAATTGAGATTGTTCAATGGAAATATAAACAGCTGCCCTTTAGCTGATGATGATGATGAAATGATGGTCTTGATGATGGATCACACGATGATGAATATTGGGCCAGAATCATCATCATTATTATCATTATAATAATGATAGAAAAAAATGATGAATCACTTTTATTTCTATATGAATGAATGAATAAATAAATATAACAGTATTGGTCCCAGCCACCATGTTCAATAATGATATTTTTTTCAAAAAAAAAACTACTACTATAATTTATCCAATGATTTTGGATTGGTAAGTAGTTCACGTGTTAAACGCCATGTCATTTTGGCTGCATTTTCCAATGCACTAAATGAAAGAATAGAAAGAAAAAAATCAGAATTGAAAAATTGATCTAAATAATTATAATGAGATGCAAGGATGCTAAAATTGTGTCTAGTAAAATAATAAATCAAAAACAAAATTATATGCAAACAAAAAAAAAATTTACCTGTGTGATTTCCCACGAAACAAATCAAGATTAGGAAGAAAATAATGTGGACAACGACGACATTGTAGACATGAAATTAATTGCAATAGTATACCATTTATACGATCACCAAGGCATACTTCTTCCCATTCTGTATCGCGTGGATGTTTTTCACATTCATATAATAATAATGTTTTCATATGATATTCATTGATAGGTGCTCCGGGCAAATCCAAATGACGATCACGTAATGTTTTCAATATGGATAGACATTTTTTACGATAACCATTCTGCTAAAACATAACATAAAACAAAATATTTCATAATAAATCAATCCATCTTGATGAAACAAAAATAAAAATGCAATTTTACCTGTAGTAATCGATTTTCAGCTTCTAAAAAACTCAACACCCAGGCATCACCTTCCATTGAACTTTGTTTTCCCTGTTTGTTTAAATTTTTATTGAAAATTTATTATTGAATGAAAATCATGATCAAATCAATAAAATGATCGACTAACTTGAAGTGAGACACATTCTTTGCTTAGTAAATCGAAACCTTCAGCTTTAACTTCGGCCACCAAATTTGGCGGTGGCCAAGATGAAGTCGGTACTGGCCAATGTGATGCTGATCGTGGCCATAATCCACTACAACGAAATGCTAGATGAGGGGGGAATTTTTAAATAAAATTAATTAACCTTATTTGTTTTTAATCACACAATCTATGGGTTTGGTCATTACTTATACCTGGCGTAATCTGGACAATATAACGCTCACGTATACGTAGTTTTACTTCGCTTGTATCTGGTATCATTTTTACTATATCACGATAGGGAATTTTATCACAAGCTTGGGCTACCTGAATTTAGCAACAAAAACAACAAAGAATTAAATGAAGAAAACCAGAGATGGATGTTTGATTGGTGAACAAAAAAAAAACACATACCAGTGTTTGAAAACGAGATCGAATTTTACGGGCACTGAGATAACCACTGGCCGTTATAAATTCGACCCATAAAGACATGGATCGTTTACGTCCATCTGACAGCTGTAACTCAATTATAAATAAAAGTGGAAACAAAAATTAAAAACATTTCAAAAGTCGGTGAAAAAATCCAGTTAGACACTTGATTTATTCCTGAAACAAACAACAAGAAAATGTAAAATAAACAAAAAATTGATCACCTACTTTAAGAACGGCACATCCAGGAAGTGTACCATCATCGACAAAATTGAATACACCCATCTGATTTAGATAAAGTACAACTTCAAATTCATTCGGCGAAATAACTTCTAAACCTGATATGAAAATGATGATGAACAATCATAAAATTATAATTCATTTATGAATTACGGTATCATCAATTATTACCTTCATAATGACCATTACATTCATTTAAGCTCGATATAAATCGTGGTTCTTGTATTTCCACTTCTTTCAATATATCCTGTACAATTTTTGTTATTTCACGAATTGTTTTTGCTATCTGGTTACGTCTATGAGATAACAAATAAAATAAATGAAAACAAAAAACGATAAATACTGTTAGCATACTTTTACGGTTAATCTCGAATGAATAATGGGAAAAAGCAAATCTCAATAATTAAACATTTATTGCAATATGACAATTGTATGGTCATATGGTCATTGTCATTCATTCGGTCATATATTAATGATGATAGAATGATCAATGATTATTATCATAATTAGAAGATTAGGTTGTTGTTTTTTCTATCTAATATTTATCAGTGAATAATTTCAAATATAAAAAACAAGATAACAATAGAAAAAAACTATAGAGGTCCTTTATCGGGGGTTCATTCAAATGTTGTACAACAACCATAATGCATATTCGTTGAATTATTAATGAATTAATTAATTATCCAAATGATGGAATGTTGGTTGATCTAACCAGAATCATTCGAAAATTATTCAATAAAATTTTTTTTGAAAAATAAATTAATGTAAAAATATTGTGACATGAATAAGAATTGACCCCGAACTGAAACATTTACAGAATTATTATCGGGCTGTTTCATTGATGACGAGAAAACGAGAATATAATTCAAAATAAACTAACCTGTAAACGACACGATCATTACAGAATTTATTGATATGATAAAGAAGCTTGCTGGTGCCAAGCTGGGCATCTGGTGGTACAAGCATTGTTGTTGCTTTTTGTGGTTTGATAATTTTAAAAATCTTCACCGTTTATTTGAACTTAAAAAACAAAAACAAAATACACCAAACCAAACGTAAATCAAGTTTAATGATGATAATGATGATGATAAACAAACAAAATGTTTCACATACATAGGACACTTTTAAAATCAGAATAAAAACAAACAAAACGAAAAAAAAATCAATATAATTTTTTGGACGGATAAAACTGCTGGAATGATGAGACCAAAATAACAAAAAAAAGGCAAATTTAAAACAAAATTTTAATATATGCCATATATTAATATTTATTTTTTTAAGGTAGATATTTTGAGAAAATTACCAACTTTCAATATGGCGGGTTTAAATTCGACTAATCTATGAGAAGAGAATCTTGCTAAATCTATTCTATCTATCTATTTATTTTTTTTTTCTTTTCACTAAGCATCATCATCAACCAATTCAAATGGTCGCGTGAATATATTCTAATACCGGATTGCTATTGCGCATTATTGGTCGGGAAAAAAATACTTTTCGATACACACACACATAATAGTCACAATGTGTATTCTTTCTGTCATTGATAAAAAGGCGTGCATACGATAAAAGGCGGCACATATAGCAAATTACCGCCTTTCTACTCTTTTTTTTCATACATACATTGGAATTAAAATGAAATATTGTATTAGTTTTATCGTTTGAATCAATGTTGTATTTCAAAGAAGAAGAAGACGAAAAACAACAACAAATCTTGGCATTTTCAATGGTTTCAATATTATCAATGTCCATTGTGTGATTGCATAAAAATGATTATAATGATGATGACGATAATATATTTTTCATTTTTGAAGAATATTCTATCACTGACAAAATATCAGTAATTTTATTTCTGATCATCATTGATCCATGAAAATCATATTTTTTCCCAATACTTCAACTTGATGGATGAAGAATAAAAATGAATGAATAACTTGAAACTATTTTGAAAACAAAATATTATGTTGGTAGCAAACAGTTTTTTGGGTTCACAAAACCAAAAAATCTATTATTGTGTGATAATCCTATATAATTTATTGGCCATCTAACGTTTTACGTGTGTGTGTGTGTTTATCGTTTTTTATTTGCGTTACAACCAAAGAATTTTGTTATTAACACTTTTTCATCATCATCATTTGTAAACATCACATTCTTCTTTTTCTTTTTTTCTTGGTGTATTGGATGATTTCAATAATTTTTCATTTAAATCCCAAGAAGAAAGAAAAAAAACTTTTTTTTCATCCTGTCAATGCTTTTTTTTACTGGTGGGTAGTTAAATTGATGATTTGTCTTTTTTTCCGATGTGAAGAGAGTTCAAATTCATTTAGGAAAAAAAAAGAAAAACAAGGCGCACGCGAAATAATGTTGACATATTTCAATATATATTTCTCTCTCCCTCTGAAGTATGAAGTTCAACATCATCAATGTTATCTGAATCTGATCTTCAAGTCGATAGGATTTGATCGATTTTGACATTTTTATCTCCAAAAAACAATATTGATAATCATAATAATAATTGACAATCGATGACGATTTTATGATGATGATGATTATCAACATGAGAATGACGAGAATTCATTATTCACTCAAGAATTGAATTTATTTTTTTCATTTTTTCAACAGAAAATGACAAATGACATTATCATAAAAGTAAAATCTTTTGGACAAAAAAAAAGATTATTTCAAATGTATTTTACAAACGAAAAAAAAATCTGATCTTTGTCTCATTCAAATACAGTGATTTGAACGATCCAATCGGTCTTAGTCATTTTATGGTCTCTGGTCTGGGAGGATTACACCTGTCATCACTACAGTTTTTTTTAATGGATAAAATAATGACCTACAAAAAAGAAAATGAAAAAATGAAATGAATTGTATTCTCATCTTGATGATGATTATTGGTCGAATCGTATCAGGTTTCCAAACCATACAACAACAACAACCATCAATATCTATTTTGTTCATCATTATTGTTCATTTGTTCATAAGTTTGAGAACCATAAATTATCATTTCAACACATCTAACTTGGATTCATTTTTAGGTTTTTGTTTTTCATTCCAATCAAATTCAAAGTGATTTTTTTTTGTTTTGCTGTGGACCCAAATCGTGTTTAGTAGAATGAAAAAAATAAAAATAAATCCACTTGGGACCGATGATAACTATCGAAATGAGAAAACAAAAACTTGAATATAACAAGAGAGGGGATTTTATCATTATCATCATCATCATAATCATTATGTTTTTGAAACGAAAGATGTTCAATACACAAGTTCTGAAGCTGATCCAAAACAAACAGAGGGAAAAAAATAATTATAATTATTTTGCGAAAAATGAAAAATTGGTTTTTTATTTGTTTGTTTTGGTCAGTCAGTCAGTCAATCATTCAATTTTTGATTTTATTTCCCAAATGAACAGCATATATATAGAGAGAGAGAGAAAGACAAATTTAAAGATAAAGATTGTCGACATTTCAAATAATGTATCATTATGGCACGTTAGGGTGTTGTTGTTGTTGTTGTTGCTGTTATCATATCGATAGATATATACTTAACACATGAAAGAATGGGATGGTTTGATAGATAAATATAGAAGATGACTTGTCACTTGTCAACTTGCCCATTTCAAATCTTTAGTAGGAAAATAAAATGAAATGGCTACCTTTATTCGGATAGAATCTACATTGATAAGAATGAAAATGATAACCTAGGTATTGAATTGAAAAATACCGGTAGGTGTTTGTTTATTTTTCTTGAAAATCGTAAATAGCAATGTAATATTTATCGTCATCATCATCATCATCATAGGTTTATCTGAAAAACCAACAAACAAATAAAAAAAAAATGCCAAGCCTATTATTAAGACAATACTGTGGTTGGTTCTTTCGGTCAACCAAAACGACAATTTTCAATTTCAAATCTGTAAAAAAATTCATTCATAAAACAATTCAACAAATTTTAAAATAAACTTCTTTTTTAAAAAGAAAAAGAACATTGGAAGGTTAGACAAATGTCAAACATCCATGAAATTTGAATCTTGTGAGATAGGCAAAGAAGAAAACAATAATAATAAAATGTATGTGAAAGTGAAGAAACTCGTAAATCTCAAAAAAAGAAGAGTATAGCAAAAAAAAACTTGAAAATTCCAGAAAAAAAACAACAGCCAACAAAGTCTCCCAAAGAAAATCTATGATGGTCAAAAAAGAAAAAGAAAAAACTTGAAGTGTCTTACAATAACAATCTTATTGAGTTATTTATTATCAAGTTTTTTTTTATCCATCAAATAGTGGTTGAAAGCCATAATGTCTCGATTTTTTATCTACAGGCTTAAATTCTTGATGATGATGATTATCATCAATTCGAATAAAATTTCGTTGACATACACGAACACCCAACCAGATATGAAATAAAAAGAAAAAATTCATTTTAAAGTAGGAAGGTTAAATCTAATTTGTATCGGAAAATTAATTAACCTGAAATTCAAATACGAAAGACTAACAGAAAAAAAAGTTCATAATCAAAATAAGAATGATGATGATTTAGCGCATCATTATTATTATCATTTTACCAATGAGGTGATACTATTGGATTAAATTGCAAATTGATGGACAAAAAACTGAAAAAAAACATATGCATATTAAACAGCAGGGATACTCTAGACGTCGACGACGACGACGACGAAGATAAGAATCTGGCGACAATAAAAAAATGACCAACTAAAAAACAAATGTGTTTGTGAGTATGGATATCATTTTTTTCCCGTTTAGTCAATCAAATGACAAATGATGATGATGATGATCAAGAAAACATCAACTCTATCTATCAATCTAGCGAAAATATGTAACGATTGGACAAATTGGATTTTTTTGTGAGAATAGTGATGAGCAAACTCAAAATGATAACATTGGAAAGGATTCAAAAAAAACCTTGTACTTGACAGTTTTTACGAGCGGATGTTTTGTTTTTGTTATTATCATTGTAATTAAAATAATAATGATAATCATTATTATTAGTAAAAGGAGAATTTCATCTTTATTATCAAATTATCAAATTGTTCAGTATTATTGTCGAAATGAATTGACAATGAAAATTTTATGTGAATCATAAAAATCACCGAATGAAACAAAACAAAATTAAAAAAAAATATTCAACATGGACATAAACACATTACCCGTAACATTTAAGTAGCTAAAATATTAATGACAAAAACAATCCAAATGACAAATCTGAAGTGCCAAATAAAATCAGATTACCGAAAACGAGAGGAAAAAAAATCTACAAATTTACTTAATATTGTAAAATTCTTGTTGGAAATTCTGTATAATAGAATTTTTGTTTTTACAAAGATCGAAAGGAAAAAAAGAAAAATATAGCCTGAAAAATAAAAGTGCTAATATAGGGAACAATGTTACCAATGAATAAAAATAAAGATGAGAAACGAAAAAAAAAATTGGAAATTCATTGAAGCAAAAAGCATCGCCGATGACGATGATGATGGCAATGGCAATGGCTTTGGATGTAAAACGTAATCTAATTAGAATCAGTCAGCTTGATTCATCCTTTCAATGTATAGTGTGTGTATGTCCATCGATCAGACTTGGATTTTTTTTTGGCTGTCGAGGATTCGTTGTCGTATTTTTTTTGGAAAAAAAAAGAAAGAGACAGAGCTTTTTTCCCTAGTTTTGTCTAACGTGTGTGTGTGTGTATATGCGTACGTTTCTCCAGTGACCGAAAACAGAATAAAATTGATTACGAATGGATTTAAAATTAGATTATAATGCGAAGCCAAAAAAAACGAATGGAATGAAATGGAAGCAACAGAAAATGGATGAAGAGCTAGACCAGTCAAGAACCAAATGAATGGGGAGAAAAATGTAAAAGTCAGTCAAGTACGACGACGACGACGATGAGCTACTATTTTTGAAATATAGTTTGGCCATACACAAATGAATACACGCAATGATTTTTCTGTTGTTGTTGTTGTTGTTTTGGAACAATCGGTTTTTTTTTTCGGGAAAGCGACAACAACACTATTGTAGATGCGATCATTTCAAGTGGATTTTGCTACTGGTGTTTTTTTTTTGTTTTTCTTTTGGACAACAACAATAACAACCAAATAGTACCTACCACTATTTCGAAAAAAAAAGCTAAATGGCATATTTTAATATCGTTAATGTATTTTCCATTTTCCAAATTGTAAAATGAAGAATGAAACACATACACATACACACACACGAAGATCGAATGAGAACAATCAAATAAACCCATTATAATATGACACAGAGAGAGAGAGAGAGAGAGATCCTGTATACATAAAATACATTTTAAAAAGTAAAGTAGAATATATAATTTGACACGACAAAAAAAGCAATTTTGTTCTTTCATCATTTCTTTCACTCAGACAACGATTAAGGATGTGATAATTGAATTGTAAATTGATGTGTAAGTTATGTGCTAACATCAAATGATATTTTTTTTTAAATATTCAATCACGTGATGTGATTATCTAATGGATGATGATATGAGTTTGTTGAAAATTTCAAATACTGATTATTTATTGAATTTTGAATTCGCAAAAAAAGAAATTCATTCATTCAGTTTCATTTTTCATAGACCACAAATAAAGACACCATGTGTTTAGAGTTTGGCCAAAAAAAAACATTTTCAAAAAAAAAGATTTTCATTCTCAAACAAATTTCATGAATCTCAGTCTGGTGTAAAAAGATCAGCTTAATAGAATTGACCTTTGATCCGAATTTCTGAGAACAACAAAAACATCGTCGAAATAAAACCAAAAAAAAAGGAAATCCAAGTAATTATTTTATTTTATTTTATTTTTATTTATTCAACTATACACGACATAGAAAAAAAGATACGCTATAACTTGATTTACGTTCATCGTTTCTCATTGAGATATTATCTTTTTATCTCACATATTTTTGAATGCGGATCGATTTCGTGCTCGTAGATTTTCATAACTGGTATTACCACCGCTACTACTGTTATCATCGCCAATATCTGTTGAAAAATCCGATGATTTTTGATCATGAAATGGATCATGAATGTATGAATCTTTGCTTCGATTGAACGATGAATCATGATCATCGAATTCTCGGATACCAGTGCTACTGCCAATATTACCAGCATATGGTTTTCCAAATGAAGTTGATGGTTGAGCTGATGATGATTCAAATGCTTGAGGCATATTTGGATCAAATTCTAATCAATTTATAACAGAATGAGATAAAAAAAGATTTTTTTTTTTTAATATAGACTTGTAATGAATTTACCTTCAACAAATATTCCTTTACGTTTTCGAATCGATTGTACGAAAGGTGAATTTGAATTTGATTTGATCAATTTATCTTCACAAACCGATCGGTAGCTAAGTTTACCAGCAAAATAACCGAAAAAAATAGTACCAAGATAATGATAGAATCGTGGCTGAATTTGTCTGGTACGTGCAGTGTACATCAAAGCTGTACAAAGGGCAGCTGTAATCGGAAAACCTAAATAATGATACAAAAATTATAGAAAATAATAATATTTATTAAAAATAAAATCAATTTTATTTGTTTGATAAAGTAAAACATTTTGTTTACATTCGTTTTGAAATTCTAACGTTGTTGTCTCAATTCATTAATGTTATAATCAATGTTTATTATTTTACAGAAAAAAAACACACAAATATAAACTGAAGAAAAGTATCTTTCAAATGTGATTAGTGTCAACAGAATTAGAAACGTAATGCCATCAACTTCATTGATTCAATGATCATTATGAACCATGCATGGATAGAAAGGAAAAAAAATTATCTAAACCTTATCTATGAAATGTTTTTAGCATCTTTTATTTCAAAAAAATATGACATAAAAACTATGACTATATAATAAATTTTGAATTAAATGTGATTTGAAGGTTTTAACCTCATAAAATAAAAATAAAGGTAAATGGATGAATGACATCCGAATAAAAAAAAATAATGTTTTCATGGTATAATCATTTTTCGTTTCGCATTTCAACTTGACATTCCATACAGGATTCTTTATACAATTAACATTGTGTCATATCGAATCATGAACTTAATGTGATATACGTGTGTCTGTGTGTGACACCATATAGCAAATGAAAAAAAAACATAAACAAAATGACCATTGCAAACTAAAAACATCATCACTGAGAAGAAAAAAAATAATACCATTATCAACAACATCAACAATATTTTACCATTCACAATTCAGATTTGCTTGGTCATAAATTTTACCTTTAAATGAATGAATTGAATTCTTATCGTGTGTGTGTGTTTTTGTACACAAAATTCATTCTTAAAAATCAAATCAAGTGATTTACTTCTTTTATTGCCAAAAACATATTACCGAAATGTGATTAGATTTTATTTATCGAAATGAAAAATTTAAAATGAAAAAAAATTGAATGAACAACTTACATCGATACACTAAACTTTCACGGCTACATTCGCGAAGAATTTTTATATCCTCAGGCGATATGGCAGGTACTCCTTGGCGTTCAAGAAAATCATTATAATTTTTTGCAATCATTTGATTATTTTTAGGACCCAAAGGTCTTTGTTGAATAAATTGTTGCTGTTGTTGATATTGATCAGGTGGTTGTACATTCGGTTGCATTCCAAGATTTTGAGACGTTCCATAAGGATCATTAATTCGATCAAAATGACCGTCACGATTTTGATGAGAAGAATTTTCATAAGGATTATTCATTGTTACTTGTCGAATTATTCAATTCGAAATGAAACTCATGCACGGTTCGCTATTTTCCCAAAATTTTTAAACAGCTGTTATCTTCCATTCAACAGTAGTTCCATCTGTTGATGATGAATCTAATGAATATAGAGAATTCAGAAAGTTCCAGAGAAATGTTTTGAACAGAATAATTTTCATGAATTTCACAATATTGTTATTGATTTATTTTTATACACATGGGATATTTTTGTGAATCGAAATCATTTTTCTCAAAAAAATGATTTTATCAAAACCATTAATGACATCATTAAAATGTCATAGATTATCTTATCTAGTTTATTATTCTTCTAGACCACTTCCAATAGTCAACCGTTTTCAAAATCAATCATGGCAATTCGGTAATCAAAGGCTGAAACTTATCGATTATCCTTTTAAAAATGGTTCGAATTTATTCATTATAAAACGAGATTTTAGGCCACCAAATTCCTATGTCAAACATAAGGAAAGTTATTTAGGACAAGCATTAGACAAATTTTTGCTTACTTCAGCTCTCGTGTTTTTCCTCGCATTACTCATCGATTTTCGATATATATGGGATGAACTTATTCCTCCTAAAATTCGTAATCTAGTCGAAAAACCATGGTCACTAATGAGAGAATGGGCTAAAAATAATCTTCCTAGAAGAGCGAGAGGATTAGCCCAAAATGAATGCAGATCTACACCAGAATCGGAAACATCTAAAAGTGAAAAAAATGTTGAAACCAATTACAAAATTCTTGATTCAAATATCGTTCATAATTTAATGGCCGTATTTAATTTCAATGCTAATGAAATTCGTGCTGATGGTTTTCGTAATAAACGCATTATAGAATATGAGAATCGTATTCGTCATTATTCAAATCCGGATAAAATATTTCGATATTTTGCCACTGTAAAAATTGTTTACAATTCAAAAGAATCAGAAATTCTTATGACACCGGATGATTTTCTTCGTGCATTGACACCCGGTATACAACAGCCCGAAGGTTTAGGCCTTGATCAATTCAAAGTGATCGATATGACCAAAGTAAAGTATTTTTAGCTTAGTAATTAAACTTAAATTTATCGAATGTTGCTGAATTTGTTTGAAAAACTAATCATGTTTGTTGTTTATTGTTATTTTTTCCGTTTTCCCATCACTCTGCTATTTTGTGTTCATTTTAAAATCATATCCAAACCAAAAAAAAACTATTCAAAACTATTCGTCTACATCAATTTTCCTTTTAAAATCATTCATTTTGAATAGTCCAACGGTGATGATTTCCAATCGCTTTTCAATCATCAGTTATTATCCTCCTGCATCTCAGTGAGAATCTTTTTAATTTAATTTAAATTTAACAATTAACTTTAACAATTTTATTATTTTATCACGCAAATCATTTTGACTAATTGATTTATTTATATTTTGTAAATTTAAAAGGGAAAACAAGATTTTCAAAATATCCGATTAAAACCGGATAGTATATTCTATAAACTAAGCCACAATGGATTGATTAATTTTCCGGATTTTCTATTCCTTTTAACTGTTATATCAGGTATGATCAGTTATTTTCTTCAAAAAATTGATTGATTGATTGATTTTCCCCTTTGAATGAATTAGTTTCGCCTCGTAATTTTGAGATTGCATTTCGTATGTTCGATTTAAATGATGATGGTGAAGTTGAATATGAAGAATTTGCCAAAGTTCAAAATGCAATACTTGCTCAGACAAGTGTTGGTAAAAAGATGGGCAAATGTATCCGTTATAAAGGTAATATTTTGTTGTTTTTTTTTGTGGAAAAAAATAAATTTAATTTTGAAACCTATCTCAATTGACTTGTCAATATAATTGAAATCGAATGAACAATTTAGGAATCAGTTCGGCCGTATCGAAATATTTTTTCGGCAACAATCTTGAACAACGATTGACAATCAATCATTTCCTACATTTTCAGGAGACACTTCAGAAAGAGTTGCTTACACTCGAGGTAAGTGTATTACTATTATTATTTTTCAATAAATTTTCATAAAATAATCTGTGACATTTATTATAGTTTGAACGAAAAAATCCCGATCCTAAAACCGGTAAAATAGCCGAAATTGATTTTGCTGATCTATTGGTTGCATATGCATTATTTTCCGAAAAGAAACGATTACGAATGAATAAACGTGTGATGAAAAAATTTGTTTATGACCATAATATCAAATCATCCGGTGTATCATTTGATGATTATTTGAATTTTTTCCGTTTTCTGCAACATATTAACGATGTAGATATTGCATTAGCCATCTATCATATTGCTGGTGCATCGATCGACCAGGCAACATTAAAACATGTGGCGAAAACTGTTGCCCATGTTCATCTATCTGATCATTTGATCGATTTAATCTTCACAATTTTCGATGATGATGGTAAATTCTAGATAATTTCATTGTTGTTTTTGATCATTAATCTTTGTAACATTTTTTGTTGTTTTTTTTCTCTTATTTTATAAATTGAATTCGGTCAGAGGATGGCCAACTAAGTCATAAGGAATTCATTGCAATCATGAAAGAACGATTACGTCGCGGCCTTTCAAAACCCAAGGATACAGGATTCATGCAGATAATGCATACTGTCTGGAAATCATTAACTTCATTTGAATAATGATCGAGAAAGACAATCATCGTTTAAATTTGATTGTTTATTAAGATTTTGTATTATAATTATCGAATGTAAAAACGAAAATCTAATATGAAATCGGAAAATTCAACCATGAATTTTGAAAAATAATAAGAAAAATGGAAATTTTCAACTCAATAAAATACATTACAATGACAGAGTTATAATTTTTAGTTTTAATTACCGATTTTGAACAACAACAAAAACAAAATTATTACTGACCGACCAATACCAATTATGAAAAACAAAGTAGTCGAAAATAATTTTTTTTCTTGTTTTTTGAGGCCAGAAATGGAGAAACAAAAATAGGTGAAAAATTTCCGCCTGATAAAGCATTGAACAAACTAAAAATTAATTTCATTAGTGATCCAGACACTACCAACTCGAGTGTACCACTATCAACTGAAATAACTGTTGATTTTTTTTGAGATTTTTGTCATTGGTCGTCATCATCTCTTCTTCAGCACCAACATAAACTAATTAGTTTAGAAAAGGTTTAACAACAATGGCTATTTACCCCATTTTTTTTCTCATCATGAGACGATGGGACATAATAAATGAATCAACCAACCATCCAATTATAGACAAGGTGAACGAGCTATAGAGAGAAAGAAAAAATAGAAAGAGATTATAATCGACCAACAACTGAGCAATAAGTTGACACATGAATCATTTTATTTCCAAAACAAAAGATCAAGATCTTGATGATGATCATCGTCAATTTGAAAAATTGAACCAGTTGTCTTTTTTTTCTCTATCTCTCTCTTTCGATTCGAATGTCTCCCAGAAAATAACGATATATTGGGTTACTAATATTAGAATTTTGATCTTTATACAATTTCGATGAAGAGAATGAAAAGGATGAAGGTTTATCTTTATTTTTTTTTCTTATTGTATATATCTCTTCACTGTTTTCTCACGGATCTTGAATCTACCTGACTACAGAGTTATGATTAGTTTGTTGCCATTTGAGATTTCGTTGTAGTACAATCGAGTTCAATTTTTTTTCGAAAAGCTTAATTTGAATTCATGCTAAATTCAATTTAGTGTAAACGAATTATCGTTAATGATGATTGGTGTCATCGTTATTGTTATTGTACAAAATGATCATTCAACAATTGACAAAATTATCAATTATGATCAAAAACATCATTTATAATGAATTGAAAATTTCAATTACGAAAAATCGGGCCAAAATTACATCATCCACAATTTTATTTATTTTTTTAATTGTTTTATCTGTTGAAAATTTTCTTACGACCATAGTAATCGCAGCACAACAACAACAACATAAACAGTCAATAATACCATCTTCAGCTATAATAAACGGAAGTGTTGAGTTTTCACCAATTACAAATAGAACATCGGAATCGATTGTTTCGAATGCAAAAAACTCATCAACAACATCGTCGCCATCGACAAGGGTCAATAATTTTGCTACAAAAATCGGTACACTATTAAAAATTCTACAGATTGTCAATCATGTTGCATCAATTTCATCGACGGCTAGAGAATCGTTAATACGAAATCATCCGGTTGAAAATCGAAATGATTCACAAAGTGAAACACGTTCAATGTCCACATGGTTTGGATTTACCAAAAAAACGCCTGCATCTACGATTCGAAGATCAAATCATCAACATCATCATCAACAAAGTCAACATTCGTTTAATGATCAAGCGACCAATATGCAAACTGCAATGCACAGACCAACATTTATACCAATATCACAACCATCATTACCTCCACCCCATCATCCATCATTTCAATCGTTTGATTCACCTAATCCGTTCCTTTTAATACCACCATTATCTGATACAAGCGCTATTGATTATTGGCTGAAATTATTGGAAGATCCTAAATTCGAAGAACAAATCATGCCCATCTTATGGAGTGGTCGAAATCATCATCGTTATCATAACAGAAAACCATTTGATTTTGATGATAAATTTTTGTCAAATTCTCATCTGAACAATAATCCATGGATGGGTAAAAAAAATCGAAAATTTAAGATAAATTCACGCAATAGTGAACAATTAAAATCAAATCTATCAAACAAAAGAAAATATAATCAAGGAAATAAAGATGAAGATGATAATGGTGATCATTATGAATATGATCCAAATGGTTATCCGGATAAATGGTCACTTCAAAACGATATAGAAAATGGCTCAGATTTTGATAACATAATGATGTTAACACCTAACGTTAGACCTAATCAAAGAGATAAAAAGCCTAAACCATATATGTTAGATAATTTTAATCAACAACAACAACAACAACAACTACAAAATCAACAACAACAACAATATGATACAACACCACGTTGTGATAAATTTACTGAAGATATTTGTATCGATGATTTTGAATATCCAGAACATGCAATATTGGATGAAATTTATAAACGTAAAGATATTTTTCAATTGATGTATGCTGAAGTAAATGGCGAGGTTCCTTTGGTTGATGGTATTACCAAAGATATGGATGAAAATTTTTCACAAGATTATTATTATAACAATAATGATCCTGAAGATCCAGATGATGATTATCATGATGATTTCAATGGACCACAAACATCTAAACGTCATCATTCATCTACTAATAAATCAACATCTTTGGATTTTGATGAATCAAATAATCATCAACAGAATAGTCATAATAAAAATTCTATCGAACATGGATTTGTTTGTCGTACTGAAGTACTTTATGCTAAACCTAAATTGGCTAAAAATCTAAAACGAAAATGGCGTGTCATTGTTAATGCTGGTGATTTTACACAAACAATTCGGCTAGAAAAATGTAATAAAGCTAATAGTGAATGTAGATATATAGCCGATCATAAATATGCATCTAGATGTGCACAGATTCATTCTATACATCGATTATTGGTGTTTGAAAAAGGAAAAGGTTTGCTTTCGATATACATAATCATTTTAAATCTGATTCATTCATTTTTTTTATAATTTAGGTTTTTTTATTGATTCATTTCGAATTCCAACTGCATGTGCATGTCATGTTTATTCGGTTAAACAAACAAATTCAAATCCAAATGAAAGTAAAATAAATGATTTAAGAACAAAAATTAGTATCGGTGATTCAATGGAATCGAATAAATCATTATGGTCAATGTTATCAAACAATAATAATAATAATAATAACAATCCTGTACAATCTTATGATGATGACAATGGAAACAATAATCATCATTCAAATAATGATCGAGCACAGTCATCGAAATTATATTATCATAGCCATACTAATCAAAATCAGGTTACAAAACAAATGCAACAACAATTAAAACAAGCATTAAATCTATTGAATAATAAGGAATTTTTTAAATTATTACCACAATTAACATCAATCGACGCAACAACATCGATGAATAGTAAATGGGACGATAATAATGATGACAATGTTTTATTACAAAAATTACTTGAAAATTTGGCAACAACATCATCGACCACTGGAAAAGTACCTTCGAATTTTTTACTAACAACAACAACAACAACTAAACCAAATAATAATAAAAATAATCATTATATGAATGATAATAATCATCATATGAATCGTTTTACAATCATACCGGATTATCAATTCAATCTTTCGGATATGAATGAAGGAAATAAAGCGGATGATGATTTATTAACAAATGCTGAACATAATTTCGGTATGACAACAAATCCAAATCAACGTAACAAACAACATATATCAACAACGTTTGGTTCTATATCCGGACATCAGCCCACATCAGCACAAGCACCAGTAGTACAGGTAATACATATGCCAGTATCAACTAATGGTTTAGATATACCAGCCACTGTTAATCGATTAGCACATTGGCCATATCAATTCGATCAACATGATGATCAACATTCAAGTACTTCATTATCACTTTTAATGCCATCATCATCACAATCACAATCGCCATCACAATCATCATTGTCAAAGTATTTGGCATCAGCAAGCGATAGCCATTATTTTCAACAACAACAACAGCAAAAATCCAAAATCAACAATGACACTTTGGCATACAATATGACAACTATCCAAACAAATAATCACACAATTTCCGACATTTTAAATGACAATAACACAACTATGGCCATTGTAAATGAAGATGTGAATCACCGTCATGATGATGATGATGATGAAACTAGAAAAGACGTTCATGACAATGATAACAACAGTGATGATGACAATACTAAAATTAACTTTTCCTATCATCCAATTCTTGATTATATTGTCAATTAGATTCTTGATGATAGACAGCCATTGAAAAAAAAACGAATTGAAAATCATGTTGAAACATGAATGGATCGGATATTCAATGTTGAATGGTTTATTATATAAAAGTCTATATGTATTATATACTTGTTCGGAAATTTTTTTCGTCTTCACCAATTATTTAGTAAATACAAATGATATTTTTTTTTAAAAATTTGAATTTATCTTAACTTGATTTCGTTTTTTTTCAAATTTGTTTATTTAATTATTTTATGATTTTAATTTTTCGTTGTTGTTGTAATCACATTAACGGTGAATTTCTTTATATATAAAAAAACAACAAGCAGCGGATAAAAACATTAACAGCCAATAAGGAAGTGATTGATATTTTCAACAAATACTTTTTGTCAACTTTTAACATATGCGTGATTCTTTTCAAAAACCAACCAAAACTGATGGACATTGATTCATGCAAATAAAAATATCTGAAAATGGGACCGAAATGATCAGCTAAAATTTATTGTTGCTTTTGTTTTACTGAATCAAATTATCACAAATAACAAAATGGATATTATACAACTTTTTTTTCGGATCTGTGTTTCTGATGAAACAACAAAATGTTGAGACAATTTCATCATGTCTCTTTTTACTCATCATTGCATGCTCTATTTCTCACTAATTTTTTATTTTATTTTATTTATTAAAATTTCTGTTGTTGTTGCCGAAAATTTTAATTTCACTTTACAACGAGGCCACAGAAGATCGGTGAATAAGATAAAACAAGAAATTTTTTTTTCTATTTCGGGTCGTTTTTTTTATTTTGCGGACAAGAAGAGGACAGGATGATGATGGTGATGGTGATGATGATTTTTACTAACAGACAGATATTTTTTTTAATGCAAAACATGCGATTAAATTATCATCATCACCATCTTTGTAAATATATTATACGATGAATACTTGCATTGCTCGATTGTGATTCAATTGTATAATTTTTGTGTAATATATAGCAACCATTTCTTTGTGGTCAAATCAGCATTACATTACATTTCATTTCATTTCGTTTTCTCAATATTCCTAAGACAGACATTCAATTCGAAAAAAAACATTTAAAATTGCCTAAAATTGTTGTCTAAACATTGTGTGCAAACATTTACTATATCATGTGAAATGTGGAAAATTAATAACAAAAATATTATCATCATTTTGATGTGTGTATTTTTATTGTTTATGGCTAAATTCATCGAATGTTTTAATCGTGATCAGATTATTGAACAACAAAATTATCAATATCAACAAATATCTAATGATGCAAAAAATCGTTATCAAAAATTATCTAAATATCCTAATCATCCGAAACATTATCCACATCAATATATGATACATATTCGTTGGGGTAAACCTATACATAACAACGATATGATCAGAAAAGGTGATGAAAATTCTCGATATCGTAAATATGCACATGAAGAAGAAGAACATTGGCATCATAAAAAATGGATCAACATTGGTAATATGCCCAATGATATCGGTGACAACAATAACAATGAAAAATATACCAATGAAGATGATGATCGATCATTATATCAGGTGACCGAAAGAAAATTCAATACATTACCAGTATTTGCAAGACCATTAAAAGATAAGAATAGTTTACGCGAAATTCAAAAACATTTTGCCATACCTTCAACAAGTTTTCCGGTGAATAGAAATTTTGCCAAATGGACAAAAGCGCCAATCAAATTTAAAAAGACAAAAATCTAACTACAATATATCGATTAATAATGGATAGATGGCATGATCGGCATCGATTTTTTTCCTGATTATCATCTTCCTGAATTTGTATTGTTTTTTTTCCGATTTGTTTGTTTGAAAACAATGATTTGATCATATTTGAATTTTAGGAAACAAAATACAATGAATGCGAGAGGAAATTTATTTATTATTAAAATGTATTATTCAATTCAAAACATGAATAAAAATAAATCGAATTGAATCTTTATACAACGAATTTTCATTTCCACCGTTGTTTTTTTTGATGATGATGACGATGATCAATAATCGTAAAAATTTATTCTCTCTCCCTTTCTATTAACAACAACAACAAAAAAACAAACGAGAAAAAAATTACATCGGATATTTATCCGCAAACAAGTTTGCCATTAAGTAATGGGTCGTCGATTCGAAAACATGAATGACAACAAAATAAAATATAAAAAAAACAATGACCATTTAAATAAAAAAAAAAGAAAAGAAATAATATTCAATGGTCAATTGTTTTGTTTAGTTAAGTTAAATTAAATTCATTGCTGATAATGAAGTTTATATGGCTATGTGAAAAGATTGTGAACATTTTTGATTCAATTTTTATTGTCAAAATCATTTTGCCTATTTTGGTATCGTAATCAAATTGGACTTGCAACTTTGCAAAATGTTTAGACCTACCACTGACCGATCACTACACAACCAACGACTATTATTATTCACAATTCCAGCCAACTATATACAATTATACGAGAAAAACAAAATTGAGAATTGATTTGATTTTCGATTCGATTTGATAATCATCATTATCATGTGAATTGGGATATTTGGATTTTTTCATTTCATTTCTTCCTTTTGGTTTGGCTAGAGAGAAAGAAAAAATCAACAATGGTGATAGATGAATGAGAGTCAAATCAAAATCTATAAAGTTTAAGCATAGAAATCATGATCGATGTGAAAATGTATTGAATATTTTTTTTGTTTTCTGCTGACGTTTGTTTCACGATTCATAATAATTAAGCATCATTTTGATCAAATGAATAAATTTGCACTGTGTATACAACAATCACGAATCAATGCTTACAAAAGATTTTCATTTGTGTCTGTGTGTTTGGAAAAATAATTCGATTTTGAAAATTTTTTTTTTCGATTCAATCGTAATCACAATTCATTGATTTTGATCATTACTGAGTGATGGCCAGAATTTTCTTTCAACCCGTTTTTCGGATCGAGATTTTTTTCACAACATTTTTGATTCAATCAAGGCTGCCAGTTTTGTTTTGTTTGACCAATAAAATTTTACATAGATTCTATTATACCGGAGGAACGATAGTTACACAGATAATTATTTATATAAAAAAAACTGCATATGACATTCGGACAATATGGGTATCAAATATTTATGGATTTTATTCTCTTGTTGTTGTTGTTTTTTTCTTCTATTATTCTTTCTGGATCATCTTCTTCTTCTTCTGTGATTTCATCTTGTTCTCGCAACAACAACAATAAAAAAAAAGTAGTAACAACAATAGTTCAATAATGTTTTTTATAACGAAAATTTGCTGAACAATAGGGATGAAAATACTCGATGATGATAATAACCAAATTGTGAATCATTGTCCCATGATGATGATGATGATGATAATAATGATGATGATTTCTGTTATTGTCATCGTAAGAATCATTCATGTGTAGCAATGCGTTCATAAAATCTTTTGCTCATTTTTTTTTCTTTAAAAAAAAGAAAAAAAACCGGCCAACAATAAGATGGACCCAAACATATTTGAATCGTATATCAAATATGAATGAAGAAATTCAAAACGAATGACGAACAATGAATGTTTGTGCATGTGTCCAATGTCCATATTGGTCACGATGTTCATCGATTTTGGAAGTATTCACTTGAGTAATTTCAATTCTTGTTCCAATTCGTATTTTAACATTTTTGGTTCACTTTTTTTCGAATGTTCTTTTTTTTGTTGCTATTGATTCATTAAAATTTGACAAATGTTTTTGAAATTCAAGAAAAAAAATGTTTTTTCTTTTTGTTGCTGTTGTTGTCTGTTTGTAGCAATTAGGATTAGATGGATGAATACGTTGAGATAAGAAGAGTTTTGAAAAATAATGTCGTTTTCCAACAACAACAACAACAAAAATCATCTTTGATTCCATAAGAATCTCATTGTCGTTATCGTTGTTGCCAATGTTCAATTATAGTTTAGTTCATCGTTCAAGTTTTTTTACAACGAATTGAATGACAAGCCAAAAATGTCCGAAAAGATTAATTTTTTTATTTAAAACGATGATGATTTGAATCCTTAAAGTATAATTCGGTTCAATAGGTTTTCAAAATAAACCAGTGAACAAAACATTAACAAAATGAAAAGTGATGATGCCATGATCATTTCAGCAGGAAAAAGAAAATAATCAATTTTGATTTTTTTTTTTGAAAAAGTGACCAATAATGATAAATAGTTATTGAAAAAAAGTTTGTTGTTTTTTGACAACTTAGTCTTTGAAAAGAATCTATAATTAAATTTTTTTTCTCAAAAACAAAACAAAAAAAACAAGACCAAATTTCTGACATCACTCATTATTTTCATCGGGATTGGTCCGATGGGTGGAAATAGATGATAATGTTTGCTTCTTTATCAAATGAAAATTTTTTTACGAAATACCATTCTCGAATCATTTTGTGTTTGTTTTAACAGAAAAATATATATCGATTGTCTAAATCGATAGATTCGTCATTCACTTATTTCTCCTGCCATAAATTGTTTTTGTTTTTGTTTTTTTTTTCATTTAGTTTCCCTCCATTTTCCTTATTTTTGGTTTTGTTTATTCATTCTGGATGTCCATTTGCTTTATATTCAATCAAAATTAATGAATCAAACATAAACGAATTGAATATATTTTATGTTCTTTTCAATGTCATACACGCGTATATTGACCCTGATTTCAAAAGAATACATGATGATGATATCATGATTGACATCAAATCAAAATGGTTTGATCAAACACAATGTTTATTATTCTTCCTAGAAAAATTTTTTATATGTGTTTTATGGCCTCGTTAAAAATTGACGTATCCCGTTATATTATTATTGTTATAAGTTTTGTTCAATATCTAATGTTTTCACTGTTGTTAGAATGATGCTATTATGTCGGATTTTCATCTGGTTTATATATTAACCATTATCGTAATATGAATTGTTGTTCGGACAAGGTTAATAAATCAAAAGGGTATCCTAAATCTTTAATGACAAATTTATCAATTTTACTCGGTATGTTTTTTGTTGTTGTGGGATTATAGTCTTGAATTATCTATTTTATTTTTTTTTTATTTGTTGAATCTTTAGACAAAGTTTATTTTTGTTCATCAAAATATGCTACCCGAACTCATCATAAGCTTACAATTTACAAGATGATTGAGGCTAAATAGTTGCAAAAAAAAATGTTTAATGTGATTTTGATTAAATTTTTTTTCCTACAATGTTGTTTATGGAACACGACTTTAGTTCATTGAAAGAGAAAGATATTTCTACAACAACAACAACAAAAAGAAAAAATGACAATTTTCATCATTTTTCAGCTACCGGGTTGTGAAATAAATGATAATAATGAAAACAAAAGAATAAATTAATACTAATAATAAAAAAAGAAAAGGTATTGCTTGCAGGTATACAAAATCAAATTACACATCAAATATGTGTCTGTACATCAAATGGAACAAAACAAAAACAAAAATTGAATTAACCGTTTTTACACAAATTCCAGAAATTGCCAAAAAAAATGAAATCCATATTTGTTTCGAATATATTGAAATATCCTTGTTTATTTGGATGAAATTAAAAAACAACAAAATGAAATAAAATCAGTGCAATAACATATTGTGATTCAAACAAAATCAAATATTTAATTGCTTTTCCCTCTCTTCCTCGCACTCATATCACACAATTCATCAACATCTAATTGAATCAATTGACTGTGTATTTTACTAGACTATTACTTTTTTTCAAAAATACATAATTTAACATAATGATAATCATTCATTGAATAGAATATTTTAGCAATAGCATCCATTTACAATACTTGTCTTTATACAGAAATTATGGAAAAAATAACATAATATAATGTGACAGACTTAATCATCATCATAACAATAACATTGTTTTTTTTTGGTACATTATTATTATGTAATGGGTTTGATTCGATTAAGACTTGACGATCATCATTTGTTTCCGCTATCATGATAATTATCATTGTTTGTAACGTTATCAATTGTAAATTTTTTTTTCTTCGGGATTCTATAGAATATGTTACATACAGAATGTTAAACGGTTACTGTTAAAGAAAAGTAATGGAAATGAAAATGGCCGAATCAAATTCAAATAACGGAAATTATTCAATATTTTTCCCGAATGACAGAATGTTAAACTTTTTTTCTTTTCTTTTCTTTTTTTTGTTATTCGTTCAATATTTTGTCATTTGAATTGTCATTTTCCACTTCAAATGATCGAAATTAAGTTTTTCTTTTCCTATTATTTTTTTTCCAATTTTTCTAAATGAGAAATTAATATTCTTCCCAATACTAATCATCATCTTGGTTTGTGTGTGTGTGAAAAAAAAGAAATCAGTCATTTTTTCCAGAAAAAAAACTTTCAAAAGACATTTATGAACGATTATGGTCATTATTCATCATTGAAATTCCGAGATATCAGGAAGTTAAGATAATCAAAAAAAAATCGACTAATTGTTTAATTATTAAGACATTGAAATGGCGAAAGAAAGTTTTTTTCTGAGGATAAAAACTTGATGATTATAAATGAATTTACGAAAGTAAGAAAGAAAAACTTTGTTATATCGATCCAAAGATAAATATGAATCTAAGTTTGATTCGATTTCTTTTTTTGTTGAATTTGCCAAATTCAACAAAAATTCATCATTCATTCATGGTCAAAATTTATGGATATATCACATAAAAAAACTATATCTTCAAATTAAAACTTTTTGAAATGTTATGAATTTTAATATTTTCTTGTCTAATGTAAACCCTGTAAATAAAAATGATAATAATAATATTGGTGGGTCGATAGTTGAAAAAAATAATGATGTTGACGACAACCAAGAGATTTACTGAAATGAAAAACATGGGTAGATAAAAAAAATTTACGAAATTCATTGATGTGACAAATTTATTACACTCTATCTCTATCTCTATCATCATCATAGAGATTTTATAAAAACACAAATCCATGAGGATGATGTTGATGATATCATCATGTAAATCGTATGTAAAGCTCTTTGCTTTTCAAATATCGTCAGGGATTTTTCGTCTAATATTTATTATTCTTTTCAGGAATATATTGAAAGAAAAAGAAGAAAAAAAATACACACATTCGACATGATATTAAATATTTTTTGTTTATTTTTTTTCAATTCGAATTCAAAATACAAATCATCAATAGTATTTTGACAATGTATACAATTCAAACATTTTCAAACATTATAAGCTGTTGCTGTATTGGATGATGATGATGATGATTCTTTTATTCTGTTCTAATTTTCGAAATACGCATGTGTAGATCATTTTCATTTTTTTTTCTTTTTCGTAAACGGGTGCTTTTCAAATCGAATTCGTCTATGTGTCTTGGTTTTGTTTAGATTCATTCATCGTTTAACCACCGACCAGAACAGAATCCCGAAAAGATTGTCAATAATATCTTGAATCTATAGCTAATTTTTTCGGGTTTTTTTTCGTGTGCGCGTCAAACAAAAGAATGAATGAATGAATGAATGAAAGCAAAAAGAAAAATCAACAGCCTGTTTTTCTCAATTTTATCGATCTATTTTCGTATTCGCCATTGTTGTTTTTTCGTCAAAATCAGTCCAATTCATTCGGCTATTTTCACACTACTTGCTCTTAAATTAAATTAACCGGAAAAAACATGGTCAGTACATGCATATATTTGTGTTGTTCGAATCAAAATGTTAATTGAATTGCTTTTTTTGTTTTGTTTGTTTCTTATTCTTTTAGATAATTAGGAAAAACATCTAGACACAATAGGGAATTGAATTCGGTCAAACGGTTTACCGTTTCAAAATCACTGACTTTTGTTTATTTTCATTCATCGATTTTTTCGCTTTTTTCATCACTGATTTGTTTGATCTTCTTTGTTTCATCCATGTCATTTTGTTGAAGTGTTCTTTGTTTCGAATGATTGATCAAGTGAATAATAGAAGAAAGAAAAATAATTTCTCATTTTTTTCCCCACAATCAACGATAAACTGATTATCAATTTATTTCCATCTTCTTTTATCAGGATGAAATTTTCTCAAAATCCAATATACAATGGTGATCAACAATAACCATATAGCCTAGTGCTTAATTTAAGTCGAAAAGGAAAATCTAATTTTTTTTCCTGAAACAAAACAAAAAAAATATTGATTATCCGTAACTGGTCATCATCATCATCATCATTCGTAACATGGTATTCAAATCGGATTATTACATTCCATCATCAATGATCAAAAAGATTAAATCAATACAATACTTTATGTTCGGCATAATTCCATTGTTAATTATTCATTCATTTTTGTTGGGTAAGATTTTTCAAAAAGAAAAAAAAAACATTTTTCGTTTTAAAAATAGAAAATTCACAATGTAATTTCAATGTAAATCTTTTAATTTCTTTTATCATCTTTCATCTTGATTAATGTTTTATGATTGATTTGATTTTCATGTTCTAATTTTTGTTTGTTTGTTACATAAAGCACTCCTTTTTCATTTGATAATATTTTAATGAAGCATTTCATTTTGTAATTTTTAGCTTTCATTAATTAATTTGACATCATAAATAAGATCATATTTCATATATTTTGTTGTTGTTTGTTCGTTTTTTTCTCTCTCTCATATAATTAATTAACATAAAAACACAATGACATAATGCAATTCATTTTTTGTCATTAGAATCTTTGTGCCTAGATGATAATGATACGATATGGTCGTATCATCATCATCATCATAATCATCGTCCATTATTCAAGTTTTTTTTTTGTTTCAAGCATACACGTGTTTTTCACCTTTTTTTCTTATTTTGTGCTGTTAAATCTATGTGTTTTTCTCGTATTTAAATTCATAAATCATCTACGATGATGATACTTGACAACAAAATCTTGAATGTCTTGAAGAAATACACTAGGATTTGTTTGTGTTTGTTAATTTTTCATTTATTTTCTGTGTCCCTTGTTGTTGTTGTTGCTATCTTAATTAAAGCACATTTCATACACACACATACTGAATTCCATTAATTTCTTCGTTTTTCGATCGTTATTATCTTTGTTGTTTGTTTCAAATTAACATGTTGACTGTCAACCTTTGAAACAAAAACCAAATAATAAATGCCAACAACAACAACAACAACAAGGAATAGAATTTCTTTGTTGTTGCTCTTGAATTGAATAAGTTATTCATTCATCCATTTGATATAGCATCAGTACCAGTCATTTAACCCTCTCTCTTTTCATTTTATGGTTATTCTTGATGTTGTTTGTCTTGCTCTTTGATGATAGATATAAAATGACAAACAGAATCTTCTGTTATTAAAATAATATGCCCGAAACAATTTAATCCATTAATCAATAATGTCTACTTATCTTTTTCATTCATTTCTTTGTATAGAAAACAAAAAAAAAGTTTTCTATGGTTAAGTATTCAATCATCGGTACATCACAAAACAAACACAATAAGGGTATTTCAAATTCGATTAATACCTTGATAAGATCTTAAAACTCATGTTGTTATTGTTGTTTGTCGTTTGTTTGTCATGGTTTATAATAGCTATGGACTTTTATAATTCTGTATTGTAATTCTTAAATAGGAAAGAAAAACAAGAATTATTATTATTATTATTACTTAATTCTAGTAATAAACATAGTCATAACATCGAATGTAAATATAATAAAACTTTGATTTTGTCGTTTTATTTTTGTTTGTTTGTAGACAAGATAAAGATAAAAAGGGAGAAAAACAAAAACAAAACATTCTATAACCCACCAATAAATCGGCTATAAAACAAAAAATCCAAACAAACTGATCCTATTTTTATCAAAAGAACAAAGAAAACTTTTGTTTTTCAAAATGTTAGCCTGATGATGATATATCATAATTAATGATTCATTTTGTATAATGTACACATCATTTTTTTTAAATTGCCGGTAAAAGTATTTTTGTATGAATCGTTTCATTTTGTTTATATTTTGACTGTACACGGGTTATGATGATCCTTATGGAATTCTCTTTCGTCGATTTTTATTTTCAAGTTTTTTTTAGCATAAAAAACATGTCGATTTTTTTCAACAAAAAAAGAATTTTTCTGTAAATTCTTGAATGAATGTCGATGATTGTTATGTTGTCAATATATATGGCTGTCGTTCATTGTTTGAATCATGTTTAAATGTGTCAACCTTTTATAACTAATCGTATCTAGTTTTTATTCTATTCTTTCGGTATCTTTTTTTTCTTGGTTATTGATGACATTATTCTCTTTTCTGTATTCGGGTGAACAGAATATCAAATGCAAAAAAATAAACGAGAAAAAAATGGACAAATCTTTTGAACGAAAAAAGAAACATTTTTCCATCATCATCATCATGATCATTTGACAACAACGCGCGTTGTTGTTGGCAGCAAAAAAAATAAAATAAAATTTGTTTGTTTTCTATGACTTGGTACTTTGTCCAAAAAAAATCAACATTCAAGAATGTCTTTCGATTATATTCTTACTTTCATTCATTCATTCATTCATTGTTATTGTATCTATCAAGTTGAATCACTCTATTTAAAAATGATTGATTTGAACCTATTAGTTTAACACGATCGTTTTGTTGTTGTTGTTGTTGTTCGATTTATTCACTTTTCAACAGTTTTTCAAAATGGAGTTTCCAGTTTTTTTTTTGGTATACATTTTGGATTCTTCGATTCATGGGGGTTAATAATGTTGTTCACTTGATCTTTCTTTTTCCTTTTTTTCCATTCACTATTTATTATCATTATTGTTGAATATAGTTTTTTTTCTCCTTACATATTTTTAGCATTGAATATTCCATGATTCACTTGAAAACATTGGCCAAAAAAAGTTGTTCCTGATTACTTAATTCAAAAAGGTGCTAAAAAAACAGAATTTGAAGAGAATATTTGCAATGAAAGCAATGGAAGCAAAATAAATTTTTTCAAATGTTAAATATTTCAGTTTTTTATTTCTTATATTCTCTATCAGGATGATTCCATTTCGTTGAAATAAGACATTAATACCTCGATTTAATGATTTTTTTTTCCAAATATTTTTATCATGAAAATAGTATACACTCGATTATTAACCAATCAAATCTCGATAAGTGTAAATAGTATGATGATGATGATGATCTATTTTTATTTTTTCGGTCCGAATTTTGTGGACTAAAGTAAAACATTAAAAAAATAATGGATAAATCAAAATATTGAGAATCATCAAACAGGAAGCATGTGTGTGTGTGTCATGTCAGTTAATTTTTTGTTGTTGTTGTTGTTATATGATTAGATAATGGAATCCATTCCTGAATCAATGAATGATCTGTTTTATGTTATAAGTTTCGAATAATGAAAAAAAAACAAACTTTCCATATTTCCTGCTGTTTGTTATCATCATCATAATTTTGTTTTGTTGTTTTGTTTTCTTTTTGATTATGATATTAATCGAATAAAAACTTTTACCTTTTTTAGTTCATTATTCTTGTTCAATTTCGTATGATGACCATTGAGAATAAAGGAAAAAAATAACTTTTGTTCAACAACAACAAAAGTTATCTGAAAATCTATGTAACCTATTTAAAAAACCCTAAAAAAATGATTGATTGAAAGATTTGATGGATCGAAAATGACGATTAGAAGAATGAATGAAACAAAAATGTTGACAAATGTCCAAACAGAATCACCTTTCCATTCTATTTTATTCATTTGATTTTTTTCCCTACTACATTTGGCCATGATGATGAGAAAAAATTCATATTCTTTCAGCATTTTTTTTCATTCAGTTATTCTGTTCATTCTCTCTTTTTTTTTGTTGTCCATAGTCATCATCATCATCATTATTAAGATGTATAATGTATGTTTCTCTCTCTCTCTCGATTTCCACCATATTTTGTTTTTGTTTGTTTGTTTGAATGCTTGTGTGTATTTAGTATAGTGTTTCGTTCCAAACGATTTACTTTGAATGAATGAAATTGAATGGACCATTTTTTTTGTTGTTGTTGTTGCTTGTTGACGATGAAAAACAACAAACGACACATTAACGATCATGTTTATTGTCTTCATTCATTTCTCTTTTTCGCTTTTAATATTCTCTCTCCCTCTCTCTCTACTTCTCTGGATGTATCTCTGGATTCTATCCATGTCCATGTGACCATCTTGTTTATTGTTTTTTTGTTTCGACAGGGAATGAACAGGGGATGAAATTATGGATGTTGTTGTAGTAGCTTTTCTGTGTTTTAAAACACGTGCCAAAATTAGATAAAAATTCTTTTTCCAAAGTGATTCTTTTAATTTTTTTCTGTTGTTGGTCGATGATGGTAGGATTTCTGGACCTTTTAAAATAGGGAGAGAGAGGATGGGTAGAATTCTTCGTTTTGATTTGAAACTATTTGTGTGTGCATATAACATAACTGTCGCCCTGTCTAGGGTATTAGTTTTCAAGGCACGAATCTTTTGGAAATACAGCAAAGCAAAACAAAAACTAAATACAACAGATTTTTTTTCTTTCTCTCTCTCTCTCTTGGTCTGGTGGAACCATTTTGGTTGTTGTTTTACACACAAGAAAAACAAACAAACAAATTTTGTTTTGTTTTGTTTTTTCATCACTTTATCCACTTGTGTGTGTGTGTGTTGGAAAACAACAATATTGACATTTTATAATTTTCTAATTCTGCACCCTGTGTGTATATCCCCCTAAATATACAAGTTTTTTTTTTGGATTTTCGAAATACACTTGTCCATTTGTTTTGTTTTGTTTTGCTAGTCATTTTCATTAAAGCTAATTTACTGAGATTTCAAATAGGGAAAAATAATTGATGAATAAATAAATAAATGAATGATCCAATTGTGGTGATGATGAAGTCTGATTCCTGTCATCATCATTGTCATTTTGATTGTCTCTCGTCATTTGCTAAATCCTTTTCAACAAACAAATACAAAAATTCAAAAGCTTTTTGACTTCTTTTTTTGGTTTCCGGTATTTCTCATTGTTGTTAAGGTTTAAATTAGCTATTTTGTTTTGTTTTTAATGCTTTTCGTTTCTAAATCTCTTTGATTTGTCGATGAAGATTTATCGATAAATTATTTATCCTAAATTGTATTAAAAAAGGAAGTATTTCAATGTTTTTTTAGATTAATTCTATCTGATCTGAAATTTTTTTTGGATTTTTTTCATCCTTGTATGATTTTTTATTTTGTCCATTTGAATCAGTTTCAATAATCTATACTTGTCCATCGTTTATTTGGATTTTCGGTATTAGATTCATCATTCACTAATGTTCTAGTGAATTATGAACTGATGAAATTTTAAAATTTT